TGCTCCCCTCTGAATGGAGCCCCAGCAACTAAAATACATTCACCCTGTACATAGTAGGTGCCCAAAACAAACCTCTTCCATGAATGAACAAACAGCATGGAGCCTAGGACCAAAAAAAATCTTTAGGGTGTCAGCACATTCAACTCTCGCATTGAGAATCCATGACTGAAATAAAGATGAGGGCGAGGGGAGAGAGAGAGGGAGAGAAAAGAAGGGAGAAGAACGCATGGGCTTTGTGATTAAACAGTGCCCAGGTCCAAGTCCTGGTTTTTCCCCTTAGCAGCTGTGTTATCTTGGGAAAGTCCTTTAACCTCTCTGTGCCTCAGTTTTCTCATCTGGAAATTGGGGCTAATAATAATACCAACCTCACAGGCTTGCTGAAAGGACTAAATCGGAGGATTAAACTATGTAAGGAGGTTAGAAAAGAAGATGATGCATAGGAAACAGTAAATAAAAAGTAGCCACTAGTTTCTAAACATCTTCTTTCTTCTAAAAGTGCCACTGCTTTGATTTGTCTTATACTTCACTTGTCCACGTCTTCTTGATCTTTCAGTGTCTCAAGATCCTTGTTTTCAAAAGCTCGCAAAGACTGAGCCACTCCCGTGTTGGGAGGAAAGTGCCTTGGAGAGAGGCTTGGGGAGCGGAAGATGGGGATGGTGATTTGGGGTCACGGGGCAACATCCAGCAAAGCGGGAGGGAGGAGCTGGAGAGGAAGCCTTTCTGTGCGTTGCTGGCCCCTCAGCCCCAGCCTCCTTCTGGGTCTGCCGTCTCTATCCTCCAGTCTGTTCCCCTGTGGCCACAGAGGGATCCCCTTATATCCAGAGGTGACCCTGCTCACAGCCCCCCTGGGGCTCCCCAGGATAAAGTCCCAGCCCACAGACTCAGCCCTGCACATCCGGGCCGTGACACCCTTCCAGCCACATCCCTTACACTAATCTTCTCCAGCCTCGGCCCTCGGCCCGTGGGCTGTCCCCAGGCTGCGACTCAGCAGAGGCCCTGAGCAGCCTGGGGGATAGAAGGGCTCGCAAGTGGTGGCCCCAAGTCACCCCTGAAGCGGCTCATCAACCACCCCCTTTTCTGGGCTCCCCATCCAGGGACCATCCTCTTGTCCACTGAGTTATCAGGCCAAGCCCCCCCCCCCCAGCCTGTCACTCCCCGCCTTCGCCCCCACCCCTGGCTCCCTCTGATATTTGTAGAGCACTTGAGACGTGCCTGCAGAGTACGTGCCACATGGTTATTAAGTCAAATACTGTACATGCATAAATGTAAAAATAAATAAAATTTTCAAGATTCCTGGTCACCTCTTCCAGGAAGCCTTCCAGAACTACCCTATAAGCTCTCTGGTGGAGCTGGCCACTCTTTTATCTTCCTCTCTCTTCCCTCCTCAATGTCTCTCTCACTACCATGGATCTCTCTCTCTCTCTTTTTTGTCTTTGTCTGTCTCCTCTATTAGTTCTGACCTCAAGGGCAGAGACAAGCTCTGGGTTCAAAATGCCCAGCAAGAAGCACGCACATGGTAGGTGCTCAGTGTTATTTTGAATTAGATTTTGTTAACAAAGAGAGATTCTAGGTTGAGCGTAAGCTTCTTGCATCTTCCAATGTTCTAGATTCCTGTGTGACCTGGTGTGTTTGATGCTGTTCTGCTTCCAGATCTCCAGGTGTCTGTTTCTAGAAGAAGCGGTGAATAAGTTCCTGAGAATGGTAATCTCGCAATCAGGGTTTAAGTAACTATGGGTGAGAATCATCATTAGAGGGTGTTCACTCTGCGCTGGGCACTCTTCTGAACGACTTGCACGTATTATTTCATTTAATCCTCACAAACCTTATGAGATCAGTACTATTACTTCTCCCATTTTCCAGGTGAGGAAACTGGAGCCCAGAAAAGGTGAAGTCACAAGCTCAACGTCACTGGCTAATCAGCAGCAGAGCCATGGTCTGCACCCAGAAGGCTGTGCTCTCAGTTCCTGTAACAACTGTCATTTACCCAGCCGCCCCGTGTTCCTGTGCACGGTCTCATGGGAACCTCCCAACGGCCCCACGAGGCAGGTACTGTGATAACCGCATTTCATAGATGAGAAAACCGAGGCTTGGGCATGAGAAGTCTGTTGTCAAGACACGGGCCCAGGAAAGCGCAGAGCCTGTCTTTGAGGGCAGAGCCTGTGTTCTCAGGCACTCTGCTCTTGTCCATGGGTCCTCAGCCGAGGCTCTCAGACTTGAGCCTATGAGGGCCAGGCAGGCAACACAAGGAAGTGGAATGCTAAGTGGGAGGCAGCACAGAGTGGTGGGATCTGAGGCGAGCCTGCGTTCCAATGCCTGGTCTGACTGGGGTGGCCTTGTGCCACAAGGGGATGTGGGCTCAGCCTCTTCCTGTTTCAAGCGGAGCTAAAAGCCTAACATTCTATGGGCAATGTCCCTAGTTTAAAATCGGGGACAACTGAAATACCCTTTGCCACCTGGGTGTGTTTCTTAGCTCTCTTGAATTTCTCACTTGCCCCTGCTGGAGCATCACAGTTGGAGGGAATTATATGTGAGCTTGTTCATATAACGTCAATATTCCTGCTCAGTGTGAAAGTTCCAGAAGGGCAAGGAATTTATCCGTCTTGCTCAAACAGCCACCTCCCGCCTCTCCCCAGTGAAATAGCCCTATGCCCCAGCGTGGGAACTAGCCCCGTGTTTACTGAATGTATTGATAGATGTTTTTCTTTTTGTTCTGTGGCCTTCTCTGCAGCTCTGTCTCTGATCTCTTAGTACGAGTACAAAACTCCGCTTTTGCCCATTTTTTTCTGGCTCTGTCTGGTGTCTCTGGCTCCAAGTCCCCACATTCCTGGAATTTTCTGAGTCGTTTTTCCTTCTCCTGTCTCTTGGGGGTATCTCTACCTCTCTACAGGTCTCTAGCATAAAGTCTGTAAGTGGAGCCCGCATTGTCTCTCACTGTGTGTGTGACGTTGTCCCTCTAGCTCCCTCTCATTCTCAGTAAGTTTCCCTTCTTGACTCTCAGCCTCTCTGCAAGGTGTGTTTAGCTGTTTTAGTTGGCATCTCTCTCCCCCAATCCTTGGGTGGGGGGCTCTGTGCCTCCCCCTCCCCCTTTCTTTCTTTACCCCTCTAGCACCCAGCAGGGTGGTGGCTCAGCTCACTCACCCTATGGCAGGCCGGCTGGGAGCACGCACGTCCTTGCACACCAGCCGCACGTAGCTGTACTTGAGCACGTCAATGAGCGTGTACAGCGGGGGCAACCTGGCCCAGTGGCAGCGTGTCAGGTGCATGGAGCTCTGGACGAAGAAGAGCGCCAGCCGCTGTTGGCACCACGCGTCGAAAAAGCGGCTGAACTCAGCCCACGAGAAGAAGGCCCGCTCCAGCAGCTCCTGCTCCTCCTGCTCCTCCGGCCCCACTGCCATGCCAGGCGGGGGCTCCATCCTGGGGCGTCTGAGTGAAAGGTGGGAGGACACGTGCCTAAGACCACAGAGCCATCCCCACCTGAGGAATCCCACTCCCTCCATTTTCGACCTGCCTCTTTGGTGCTGGTGCCTCTGTCCAGGTGGGGCCGGGGGCAGGATGCATCTCCATTAATCTCTAGATATGAACCTCCACCCCACCTTTGGCCTCCTCCCCCCTCCTCCGTTATTCCAGGGGCAGTCGGAGCCGGTCCTGTCATCCTGATCCCTAACTCCAGTTCTGGTTGCCTCCTCCACAGATGTGATCCCAAGGTACAGCTGGGGTTCCTCTCCCAAAATAGGACTCTAAAGCTCAGTTGGGGACACTTCCTCAAATGGGTTCCCAACTTCCAGCTAAAACTTCCTCCTCTTCCAGATGTGTCTCCTTCATGTGGCAGTAACCTCTACTGCCCGCGTTCCTATGGAACTCTTCCCTCCATGTGTCTACACTTGACTGTGCAGCTGTGTCCCCTTCAAAGATGTGCCACCTCCAGATGTGCTCCCACACTCCGTCACGGGCCCCTCATCCCCAATCATGTTCTTCATACACCTGTGGCTCTCTCCTCCCTGCGTGTGCCTTCGATGTGCAGCTGTTGCCCCTCCCCCGGGTGTAGCCCTTATGAGTCGCTACAGCCAGCCGCGGTCTCTGCTTCCTAGAAGTGCTTCCCACATCCAATACTACACTTTCCTTACAGGTGTGTGCCCCATTCACTTGTGGCCAATTCTCAGAAGTGTCACTAATATTCGTCTGTGTCCCCTTCCTGCTCAGACGCGCTCCCCCAGTCCAGCTGTGGCCCCCGTGCTTTCATCTACAGGTACCATCCTCCAGAGGTGCGTTACGTCCAAGACATGGCCCCACTCCAAATGCTCCCTGCGTCCAGCTGCGCTCCCCCCACCCCTGTGCAGCCCCTCCCAGCTGTCTCTCGCGAGCCCTCCCAGCTCCGCCCGCCGCGGTCCCTTCTCTCCCGCTGTCCCACCCAATTGTGCCTCTTCCCTCCCCCAGAAGTGCACCCTTCCCGCCCCTCCCCACTCACCTACCCGCCCCGAAGCGGCGTCCACCTCCCACAATGCCCCGCGCCGAGGCCCTCGCTCCCGGGATTCCCCGCGCTGCCTCCCGCCTCTCTTCCCGCCGTGCTTCGCGCAGCGGCTTTTCCCGAATGTCCCTATTTCCCCGTCAGTCACTCTGGCCACCGGCAACCACATCCACCAGCCCAGAGCAAGGGAGGGCGCGGGCCTTTTCCCAGCGTGCTCTGCGGGAGGGCTCGCCCCACCTCACCCGCTCTCCCTAGCAGCCGCCACCCTGGAGACTACAAGTCACAGCGTCCCCAGAGTGGTGGCGGCGCGGACCTCCCCTGGGCCCCGCCCCTCAGCTCGGCCCCGCCCCGGGCCGCCGAAGTCTGCGCGCGAATTCGGTGGCGCGAATTTGGGAGTGCAGTCGAGCGCCCGAGAGTTCCTGGTGTGACGCCCAGGACGGCGGCGCACGGGGCGGGCGCGAGGCAGGTGGGGTCACCCGCGCGGGGCTGAGGGACTGCGCGCGTGTCGCACGCCCGGGGCCTACAGCTTTGCCGGGTTCCTCGGCTTCGGCGGAGCGGCCCGGAGCGCGTCCGCCGGAGGAGAGGGCCAGGTGGAAGGTAGGCGCGGGCTGGAGCCAGTTGGACGAAAAGGGTTTCACTCGAGGCCTGGCGGGACAGGGCCGCCTGGCAAGGGGGCGTGGTCAGGGGTAAGACTAAGTGGGCTAGGGGGCGTGCGGGCCACCTGAAGGGCGGTGTGCGGGGTCCGGGAAAAGGGAAAGGAGAGGCGGGGCCAGCTTTAAGGGGTGGGCGCAGCGGAGTGGAGGTGGGGCCGGGGAGAGGTCAGTGGTAAGGTCCAGGCCCAGGCCACAAGGCCTTAAGAAAGGTGGGGAACCTGGATAGGAAGGGGTCTGGCCTTGTGTATACCTGGTGAGAGGGCGGAGCCAAGGGAAGGTCTCAGAAGGCTGGACAGCAGGAAGGCCTAGGTCTGGGGAGGCGGGGCCAAGGAAGGGGGAGGTGCTCGCGGAGGGAAGAGAGAAACGATCTTGACGTCCTTAGGGGAGGGGGGAGCTTGATGGGGACAAGAGAGGGACATTTGGAACGGGGAGCTAGTATGTGAAAACTGAGAGGGATGGGTGAGTGGAGACGGCAGAAAATGGGATTCAAGACGGCCCTCTTTGGCCTCCACCCCCATTTCAGTGCATCTGAAGCTGTGACTTTTCCTACAGCCTGAGAAGGAGGCCTGAGGGAAAGGCAGGACAGTCCAGTCTAAGTAAGATGTTCCCGAATTTCATCTTAGCGTAGGATCTACCGGGAGCTCGCGAGGCCTGCAGATTTCCCCCTCCGTTCTCAGAGCTTCTGATTGAGCAGGACAGGGAGTGCGGTGGGGATATTTAAACAGAGTCCCAGGTGGCTGGCAGAGCTGGCATCCTCCGGGTCTGGTATCCATCATTGCCCGGGGCAGGCTCTTTCCTGTCTCAGCTTCCTCAGTTGTCTGTTAGGGACGCTGAGCTGTTTTAAGCCTCAAAGATGAGGCAGAGTCGCATGCGTAGGGGAAAGGGGTAAAATATTTCACAGGGGTGGGGAATGACAGCGGGCGGGGGGCGGGGAGCAGACAGGCCGGGGAAGGGGAGCTTTTATGAACAGGAAGAAATGCAGACTTGAGCCTTCTGGCCTGCCATCCTCTAGCTGTTCACCACTGACGACCCTGTTGCATCACTCCTTGTCACCACGGCCCCCAGGTTTTGCAAGAGCCTGCCTGTCAGTTTTTCAGTAATGTTTTTGTTACCCCGATTTTTAGTAACCAAAGACATGTGCCTATGGCAGTGTATTCAGGTTTTTATACATCAGGTAGAGAGGAGAGAGATGGAAGCCATTCCGAAAGAATTTACGTGAGCTGGAGGCAAAGGGGTGGGAGAAGGTGAGGCGTAGGCAGCTCTGGGCTAGGCGCAGTCAGTAAGGAAGCGGGGCCCGCCCCTGGGAATGGGCTGTGGGCAGTAGATTGGAAAAGTCCACGTGTAAATAAGCGGAGTCTCCATGTGGAAAGGAGGCTTTTTTTCCTCGTTCTCTGACGTGGAACTCTTTCTACACTAATGAGTCTCACTGGCAAATTAGTCTGGTCCGAAAAATGGGGAGTTTCTCCTTGAAGGGGAAACCCATGTTTCTGATTTTGTGGGATTTTTTTTTTCCTGAGAGAAGGAGGTTTGTGTGTCTTGATCTCTGCACAGGCAGCCTTCTCACCCAGTATTTGGATGTCTGTTCCAGAGCACCTGACGGGAGAAGAGGAGGAGCGGGGAAGGGACAATTCTGCCGCCAACATGCAGCGAACTATCATGTAAGGGACCCTGTCCCCCTTTCTGTCTTAAACTCTCCAAGTCTCTACTTCTCTCTCTGTCTTTTCTTAGAAAAACTCAAATTGGCATTTCCCAGAAGTTGACCAGTATGGAAAATGGGGAGTGGGACGTGAAAAACGGGTAGTGTATTAACTAAAACATGATAGGTACAGGATTCGGAAACCCTAACCCGGTGGTTCTCAGTCAGCGGCAGTTTTGCTCTCCAGGGACCATCTGGCAGTGTCTGGAGGTATTTTTGGTTGCCGCAGGTGGAGCGAGGGCCACAAAGGCCAGGCGTGCTGCTCAGCACCCCAGAGGTAGAGGACAGCCCCCGACAAGAGAACGGTCTGGTCTAACGTGTCAGTCTTGCTGAGGGTGAGATGCCCTGGACTAACGCAAGCTGGCTTCAGGGAAAGAAGAAAGGGAATTACTTGGCTTGTGTACTTGAAATCCTCTGGAGTTAACAACTGAATCTAGTTGCCAAAACTCTGCCCCTGGGAACCTGTCTCTCTTCATTTCTCAGCTCTGCTTTCTTCCATGTTGCGTCGTGTGGGCGGGATCTTTCCCCTGGGCTCTGGCATCATAGAGTTAGCAGTCCCAGCAGAAAGAGACTGCTCTCTCCCAGCTGTTCCAGTGGTACCTAGGCTTGTGTTTCATCGGCCCCATGCCGGTCCCTGACCCGGCCACAGGGATGCCGGGCTCTGATTGGCCAGACCTGGGGCATGTGCCCACCCCAGTCGTGGGTGAAAGGGCAGGCCCGTGCAGATCTCAGATTCTGAGAGATTTGGGGAAGAGAAGAGTGGAGGGCTGCTGTCGAGATGGGAATGGATTCTAGACAGACCCAGGCCTGGACACCCACCACACAGACCTGGGAGGTGGTGGCTCACGCAGATCCCAGGCCGCAGTTGTCTCATGGGATGAGAAATCTGGAACAAATCTGTCCCTGACACATAATAAGTGCTTAGTTAAAACTTCTTGAATGAAAATGGGGATGTGTCATCTCTCAGGTTGAATTAGGGCAGAAAAAGAAGCAGAGTGTTGCCTCCTCCCTCTCAGCTCCAGTTTCTTTATCGAAGGGGTTGTTTGAAATCAGTTACATGCCAGGATGTGAACTGGTGTCAGAAGCCATAGAGGACGTGATGGATCGGAGGGGTTATCAGTGCTGTTATCATTCCCTTTTTCTCCCCTTCTGTCCTCCTCCAGGTCATTTTTCCACCCCAAGAAAGAGGGCAAAACAAAGAAACCAGAGGAGACCTCCAACAGCATCAGAGAGACAGAGCCCCCTCCAAAGTACGTTAACCGGGCTGGGATGTGGTGAATTTGTTCCTTTATCAGTCACGACTCTTTTGGCTGCAAGTGTTAAAACTCAGCTCAGAATATCTCAGGACCTTGAAGGGAATCCTTGACTTCAGTAACTGGGAAGTCCAAAGGTATGCCCTGCATCAGGCAGAGCTGTACCTAGCGCCTTAGAGTTGTCTTCAGGCTCTGTTCCGCACGTCTTGGCTTCATTCTAGAGCAGACTTTCTCCAAGAGACAGAGGAGCTGGCCATTGGCTCCATTTTGATGCCAGCTCATCTAAGGAGAAGAGAGCAATGGTCTCTCCGCCAGCATCCACCTCACAAGTTCATGGAAAGGCCCTGCTTAGGTCACATGATCGCCTCTGCACCAATCAGTTGGCCCCAGTGTGGACTCAACCTAGATTTCATTCACATCCGTAATTTGGGACCCTTGGCGAGTGACCTCACTTCCTGTATCCCAGTTTCCCTGTGTATAACAGGGTATCATAATTTCTGTCAGTCAGGCTTTCTGTGTGGGTTCAATGAATTAACACATGTACAACTTGTAGAACAGTGCCTAGTTCATTTACTTACTGGCTCAGTTAGTGGTAGTAATCAAGTCATGTATTTTTTTCAACACTCTCGATTTTTAGATCTGCCCCTTACGTATGTATATTGCTATCTATGTACTGTATATGCATGTGTAGTTTTCTGTGATATATATGTTAATTATTTTTAAAAAAAGATTATACTTTGTATATCGTTCCTCATCTTGCTTTCTTCGGCAACATTAGGACTCGGAGTTTTCCATTCGAGAACGCAGGGGACTATCTTATCCTTTTTACCTTCTGCCTGGTGTTTCATTTTATTAACATTCCCCTACTGGTGGATATTTAGGTTGTCCCCAAATTGTGGCTGAAACGGTCTATGCTCAGTAGTCTATATGTATGTCCCCCAGTGCACAGGTACAGATTTCTTTCTAGCTTGGATTCCCCTCTGTAGAATTATACATGGTAATTGTTAACATGTCAACGCAGGAAAGTAGGTAAAGTAAAAATTTTGAAGTCTTTCCAGTATTCACGCTCCAGAGGAACCACTTTCACCCGCTTCAGGCATGTCCTTTTGAATATGCCTACAAACATATGTATACCTAACACATAATAGGTGCTCAATAAGTATTTGTTAAATGGGTGTTTCCCATACTTATGTATTGTATAGCAGGATTATAATTTTGGTCACTATCTCAAGTAGCTGGCACATGCCTGATACATACCAGATACTCAGTAATATACACCTTTCTTTTTAAATAACAAAAGCTGGATTATTATATATGCAAGTTGCAGATAAATATTAGCAAACATTCATATATGTTTTACATTCATGGACTCATACTATGCACATTCGTTTATTCACTAAATATCTATTGAGTATCTTGTACGTGTCAGGCATTGTTCTAGGTCCTGTGGCTCTAGCAGTGAATAAAATCAATAGCAGCTCCTCATGGTGTTGATTACCTGCTTTTTCCTCACTAAATATGTCCTTTAAAGCCCTTTCAAACACGATGCTTTGTGTAAACCCACTTACTTGTTTTTGATGATGCTCCATAAAGTGAGCGTGCCGTCACTGACCGCACCGGGGAGTTGTCTGTCTGTACAGCGGTCCCATCGTCTGGACCACGAGCTCTGGGAGTGCCGGCACCTGTAGGAATCAGCACCTTAAACCACCTGCACATTGCTCTGGGTTTTGATGGGCTGTGCCTGTGTCCTTTGCCAGACTGGGTGCTCCTCAGAGCCAGTGTCAGGGGAGGATTTGGGCTGCATGGGGCAGCTCTGTACTAGTAGGTTGTCACAGGATCTGGGTTGTTCCCCTACCCCCCGCCCCCACCTCGAGCCATGTCCTCATGAGCATTGTCTAAGCAGGTCAGCAAGGCAGAGTTCCAGGGCTCACACAGCGTTAGGGTAAGTGGTCAAAGCAGGTTGCTTGTCAGTCACGGCCCCTTGCTTTCTATTGGTCAGAACATATTATGTGACCGTACCTAGCAGCAGGGGAGGCTGAGAAGTGTAGTCCCTAGCTGAGCGGCCATGTCCCCAGCTACAACTCCGTGGCTCTTACGACTAAAAGAAAGGGTTTCCAGATAGATGTCGGAGGCCAGCCTCTGCCCTGAGTTAGGGGCTCCACTTCTCAGCATCACCCATCACAGCGTGGTGGCCCCTACAAAATGTTCACTGAATGCCTGAAAGGAAAGGAAGGAAATTAAACATAGTGAAGGAGTTGGGGTGTTTGGCCAAAGTGCTCTGCCAGCCAGAACAGCCCTGTTTTCCCACCTGCCAGGGTGGCGCTGAAGGAGCGGAATAGAGCGGTGCCAGAGAGCGAATCTCCAGTGAAGAGGCCGGGGAGGAGGGCGGCCCGGGTCCTGTGCAGCGATGGGGAGGAGGATGATGATGAAGCCATCACGCCCCCTAAAGGCCAGGTAGGTCCCCCTCAGCCCGCCCATTTGTACCCGAAGAATCCACAATTCCCACTATTAGCCTTCGGAACCGAGTGCAGCAGCTGCCCAGGAGGACTCGGGAAGCCCGCCCCAGGAGGTGGAAGGGTTGCGCGGCTGTGCCTTGGAGCAGTCGGGCAGGCCTGTGCGGTCCTAACTGCCCCTCAGTGCTGGCACCTGCGCAGGCTCCCTGACCTCGGCGTGCAGCTTGGCTGCCCCGCGTGTGACGTGCAGCTCACAGTGGCACCGCCTCACAGGGCGGCTGTGAAGACCGGATCTGAGAATAATGCCCAATGCAAAAGGAGGGCTAAGGGACACTCCAGTCTCAGCTGTTATCAGACAGCTTGTCATCTGCGCCCCACCCACTGGCTCATTTCCTTCTTGTTTCAAAGCCATTTAACGCCCGTTCACCGCTCTGTGGGTAAGGTCCAAAGGCGGTGCTTCTCGGCCTGCTGGTGGTGCAGGCAGATCCTGTATCTCTGGCTCGAACCCCAGTGTTGGCAGCTCAGGCCAAAGCTGGTCCTTACGGAGACAAGGCCCTTGGGGGCCCCCTTCCTCTGCGCCCCCAGCTCCTCCTCGGCCTGCTCCGCCCAGTTCTCACACATGCTCCTTTCCCTGCCTTCAGCCTCTTCCCCAGCTCAGACTCGGGGCCCAGTCCATTCCTCACTGTCTGCAGGGCTGTGCTCAGATGTCACCTCAGTGAAACCGCCCCTGATGACTTGTATTTGTTTCCCATTTGCCGCCATAGTGATGAGTCACACAGACTTATGGCCTCAAAATCACATGAATGTATTATGTCACAGTTCTCGAGGTCAGGAGGCTGATGCGGGTCTCACGGGCTAAAATCAAGGTGTCGGCAGGGCTGTTTCTGGGGCAAGAAGGGAGAATCCATTTCCCCGCCTTTTCCACCTTTTCTCCGCCTGCAAAGAGCGAATCTACATTTCTGCTGTGGCCGCATCTCTCTCTCCTGCCTCCGTCTCCCACTTTTTAGGCCCCTGTGGTTGCACTGGGCCCACCGGGATAATCCAAGATCGTCTCTCTGTCTTAAGGGCAGCTGATTAACCTTAATTCCCCTGGAGTGTCAGCTGCCCTTTGCTGTGTGATCAGACATTCACAGACCCTGGGGATCAGGATAGGGACCAGGGACATCTGCAGGACTGGGGCTTGGCCCTGAGGCTGCTGGGGCGCCCCGGAGGGGTTTTCAGCAGGAGACGGACAGAGGTAGCTTTGGGTTCTGGGCAGCATGTGAAACATCCCTTTGGGGCCTGTATCCATCTGGGTCCAAATAGGAGACAGAAATCACATGAACGGTTTGAAGAGAGAGAGGGAGTTCAATATAAAGAATCGTCAGTTAGGTCTGCAGCTATTAACTAGGACTGAAAAGAGGACTCTGAGCAGGTCACTGCAGAGGCGGCCGCTGCAGGGCGCATCTCCCGCCCCTCGAGCTGTGGGGCTGAAACTCAGACCTTCGTGGGGGAGGTGCTGGCTGGTGGGGACCAGGGCCTCGGAGTTAGGAGGAGGTGCCCTGTGGGCCTGGGGCTCAGATCTTTGAGGAAGGGGCACCGGGCAGAGGCTGCCGGTGTCTTTGGGGGCACCATGTGTCAGGCCCAGCAAGTGTTAGAAATGACTGGGAACCAGATCCAGCTCACACAGTCCTTACTACTCCCCTGTCTTGACATCGCCTGACACAGAGCAGGAAAGGCATTTGCAGAGTCCCAGCATCACAAGGGAGAGTGGGTGGGAGTCAGAGGTAATTGCCTGGTTACTGGCACAGGGCCCTGTAAGGAGATTAGTTAGTAGTTGAAACCGAGGCACAAGTAACAGTGGCTTATGCAAGGTAGGAGTCTCTCTCTCTCTAACGAGCACGAAAGGTCCGGGTTTAGTATGGCAGACTCAGAGTGTGGGAGCCAGGCTGCTTCCTTACTGTCGTGTGCCAGGCCTAGATGCTCTCGTCTGAGGGAATGTCCACACTGGGGAGAAGAGGGCGCTCCACTTTCCATTAAGTGAACGCTACTTGAACCAAGGGCAGTGTGTATTGTTTCCCTTTACGCTGCGTTGGGTAGCACTGAGGGGCATGGCCACACGCGCTGCAAAGGAGGCTGGGAAGTAGAGTCTCTAGTTGGGCCATCCTATGCCCAGCTAAAAATCAAAGATTCTGTTTCTTCAGAACAAAGAGAGTTGTTACTGGTTTCTGTGACAGGGAGAGTCTGGGACCATGAACTACATGGGAGGGTGGAGCGACGGCCCCGGTAAAAGGGGACGCGGCCTGAGCTGGGGCTGGGACTAGCACGTGGAGATGCGGGGAGGCACAGAGGAGGAGAGGGCAGGAACTGCGCTCCGCTCTCAGCTGCCTGGGAAATGAGAGAGCTGGGTGCTCCCCTGCCTCCCCTCACTGGAATTGCCCTTTCTTTCCCCTTCCAGAAGCCTGCCCCCGACTCCCCACAAGTGTCCCCTCCCAGTCCCGTCACGGTTCCCGAGAGCAGCCCTGCCCTCTCCAGCACGTCTCCGGTGCACATCTCCCCGTCTGGGATCCCCAAGCGTCGCACAGGTGCGGACACACAGGCCCTGTCCTTTCAGCTGCCTGTCCTTGTCCCCGCTCGGATCTCTGTACCAGGCGACCGTCCTGATGACAGCTCTGACCTTAGCATGTGCCTGAGAGCACAGCTTCACCATCCACTGGCTGTGTGACTTTGGGCAAATGACTTAATTCATCTGCTCTTGTCCTCTTTTCAATGTAGATACTAGAAAACGTAAGATGACATGAGGGGCTCGCCATGTGTTTCCTTTGGAGGCATGGTGATGGAAGTGGTGGTGGTGACGAGGGCGCTGTGGGAGCGCAGAGCTGAGCCTGCCCCGAGCGCGTCACCTGGAAGATGCGTCAGGGTTCGCTGAGTCGAGAAAGGGCAGAGGGAAGTGTCGTAGTCCAGAGCAGCACGTGCAGAGGCCGCGAGTAGAACAGCATGGTGTGTTTGGAGAGTCCAGTCACATTTCAGTGTTTCTGGAGAATGCAGTGCAGTTCGGAGAGCAGGGAGAGTTTGCGGATGTGCAGAGAGAGGTGAGCTAGGGAGGAGGGAGGGGGCTGGCTTAGTGCCCCGCCTTGCCCGGGAGGCTAAGGAGCCTGGGCTGTGTCCTGCGGGTGCTGGGCCCCCCTGGGAGGGCTGCGAGCTGGAAGGGCTGGCTCAGGCCTGCGGGAGAGGTGCTCGCCATAAAATACCCAAGTGCTCAGGGCAGACCCGAGCACTGGCTCTGCGGTGCATCAGGGGATTCATTTGACAGGAAGTGACATCTGAGCTTTGTCCCAGATGGCTGCTAAAGAGCATGTGCAAAGGCCCAGAAGTGTGACAGCGTGGTGTGTTCGGGAACAATAGCAGTTCAGTGATGTTGGAAAGAAAGGGAATTACATGGTGTGGGAAGTTAGAAGGACAGGCAGAAAGAGATTAGGTATGACGGTAGGAGGGAATGGGCACTCAGACTTTATCCTGGAGTGGGGGATGGGGAAGTGGGGAAGGCTTTGGAGCAGGGGAGGGACAGTCCCAGCCACAGCTGATAGAAGATCCCACTTGGGTCATGTGAAGGAGCCAAGAGACCAGGGAGAAGGTGAAAGTTGATGAAAATTGTTCAGTTGCCTTTTTTTTTTTACCGTGTGTTAGTATCTCAATTTGGAATCTTCTAGAAACAGGCTCTGGAATTCTGTAACAAGGATTCAAGTATAAATCATTTCTAGGGGAGGTGGGAGGTGCAGAGAATACAGATTGAGGGAAGGAGAGTCAGCCAACAAAAGATGTGTCCTTAGGTCAGCTGCCTCAGGGCAGCTGGAGCTTCGTTTTCTTGGGAAGCCCTGGGAATCGGCCTACTGTGTGTTCAGAATTATCCACTGGAAGTGTGAGGAGTGGGGTGCTTATATACCAACACCCCTTAGTCATTGGGTGAGAGGAACTCCTGGGGCCTGTTGATCCAGGCCTCTGAGGTTCTAGAAAATCTGTCCAGGACACACGGAGATAGATGGTAAGATCCTAGGGGTGCAGGTGGGGTGCGGAGAGCATCTGCTGCAGCCAGGTTGGGCTGAACCCATTGCATCATTGCTTACTTTTGGGGATGGTTTCTGCAGATGTGGGAGAGTGAGGCACAGAGAGATTAAGTAACCTGCTCATGGTCACACAGCCAAGAGGAGCAGAGCTCGAAGGACAAGGCCTGCGCAGGGTAGTAGCTGTGGGCAGAGGAGAAGGGAGGGGACCCAGAGCTTTTCCGGGGCCCCTCATGGTGGGTAGCGGGGCGGGCATGGTACCGAGCTCATTGGGGCAGGGGCAGATTCGCTAGCGAGGCAGCCACGCCTTGGTCTTTGCATTCCCAGCTCGGAAGCAGCTTTCTAAACGGACGATTCAGGATGTTCTCGAAGAGCACAACGAGGACAAGGAGAGAAAAACCAAGAGGAAGAGGGAGGAAGAAGGTGAGGCACCAGGTGGTGGGGGGGGGTGCGAAATCTGGAAGGGCGGGGCCAGTCGGAGAAGACAGGGTGGCGGGACCCCACTGACCCGAAGCCCGCGTCCGTGACTCTGAATACGTCTGCCAGAGCCCCACACGGCCACACAGGGGGTTTTATTAGGAGAGCATTTGGGGATACAGTCGTTTGACTGTCTCAGTTTAGTTTTCATTTCAGTTTTCTGTTTTTATCTTTACTTTTTGGAAATATGTTTCTGTAAATGATTTCTTTTTATAAATTTTACCAGCAAGCAGAGGCACCCACACTTGCACATACACTGAAAGGAAAATTAACACTTTTATTTTCTTCTTAAATCATCACCATTACTTACTAATAGCACGTCTGCTGGGTGCTGTACCATCCATTTCTCAGACTGGAATCCGGTTCCAAACTGCCACCCTCATTTCCTGTTTCCTGCCCCGTGCCGATTTTTGTGCAGTACTTGGTTTTTATTACAGCAACCAGTGAAAATCCAGCTTCACAGAACTAGAACATCAGAAGCTGCAAGGACTGTGACCCGATACTGCAACCCAAAAAACCCCTACTTAATAGTTTATGCAGTATTGAGCCCGTGTCACCCTGGTTTCACTGAAAGTGTCAGATACCTTGTTGTGTCCCTGTGAGTTCCCTGCATTTCGGTGACATGTGGGAGATGCAGCCATAAAGGTCTTTACTAGGCTCACCTTTCCCAGGAAAGATTTGAATTTGGTTGAGATTTCTTTCCTGATTTTCAGTCAGAAACAAATCTTACTATAAACTGTCAGTGTCCAGGGGTGTGGGAAGCTTCTCTCTATGAAGATAAGTTTTTCCCATGTTAGTTTATGCAATTTTTATTGTTACCCGGAAATTTTGATTTTTTCTAGTTTTAAAAATTGTTATTGTAATCTATACCGAGTTACCACATACAACTCTTATTCTGTAGTGAATAACTCTAAAATGATAGTTTGTAAGAAAAGACTGGCTTTGCTCAGCCACACAGGCGAACACTGGGGGCGGGTTCCCTCCGAGGTGTTACCGCCTGTCACTTTATAGGTAACACCTGATTGGCTCAAGAAAAAACATGGGGCAGAACGTCTTGGGAGTAGAAATGTCCGTGGAGGTCAAAGTGATTTTTTGCCATCTCAGTTCTCTGTGTGTTATCAGAAGCAGAGACCCCAAGAGAAAGCCTCCCAGAGCCAGAAGGAGCCAAAGAGAAGGAAGCAGAAGAGGGGGACCTGCCGCCGACGCCCTCTGAGCCCCAGGACACCTGCAGTGAGTTTCAAATCCTCCCCCCCCCACCCCAGCCCCAACTCTGGTTTTGGGTCATATGCCTGGAGGACAATTCATGTAAATGAGATAGATTCTCAAATGTGCTGTTCAAATGTGAATTCTGGGGAATTCTAGGCTCTGTTATTGTTATTTTTCTGCATGCATGTGAGAAAAAAAGGAAAGAGCCAGTCACCTTCCAACAGAATATACCTTTCAGAAATTACAGGCACTAAGTGTAACTAATTGAGCAGTGAATTTTTAAGTTAGACAACCAGGCTGAGTTGCAGGATTTTAGAGGTTAACGCTTCCCTCAAGCCAGTGAACAAGCCCTGCCGTCCGGATCCATGAGGCTCCTGTGGTAGAAACAACACTGGGGAGCCATCTTTAGGCTGAGAGTGGTACCCGATGTTCTGCAGCTACAGGAGAGGGGACATCCTCTTCTCATCGTCTGCGATTTCTTTTTACCAGTTTCCTAAGGCTCCAGTTTTGGGCCAGATGCTGGACTTCCATGAGTTGGTACTGACAAAAAAATATCAGGCTCAGCACCGCGCCGGGGAGAGCCGAGGCCAGAGTTGGTTAGGTTTTCCCTCTGTAGGGTCAGAAGAACCTGCGGTTAAAAAATAGAAAGGCTCAGGGTGGAAACAGTCGGTGTCGTTACCATCTGACCGCTCTCGCTTTAGAAGCGGAGGTCCTGGCAGAAAGCAGCTCAGAGCCTGAGGCCCGGGACCAGGACCAGGCGAAGCCTCCCCCGAGAGTTCCCAAGGCGCTGAGCAGTTTCTTCAGTGAGTTTCTCCTCCCACCTCCCGGCCCCTGGGTGGTGCAGGGAGGAGGTGGGTGGGTCAGGGAGGAGGTGGGTGGGTCTGTCTTCACTGAGAGCTGCGAATCCGTTGGCCTTCCTGCGAGTTAGAAAGTCTAATCCGTCTCTCCTGGCCTCCTTCCCAGCTCCCCGGAAGCCAGCAATCAAAAAGGAGGTGAAAGAAGCGGAGCCTGGCACCCCACGAAAGGAGGAGCCCAAGGGGTGAGTCGGTGTCTGTTGTTGAGTGGAGAGGACAGGGATTGAAAAGAAACACATGCAGCGAGCCCGCAATCTCTGGTTGTACTGCAGGCCTCCAGAGTAGGGGATGGGGAGTCACAAACAGTTTTCACCTTTAATTATACTAATAAAAAATGTGTTGGGGATTTTTAACGTCAGTTTTGTACCCCAGCCAAGACCTCCTTAGGGAGTTTAAATGGCCTTGTGTCAGTGTGTGACTGCGCTGCGGGAACAGTCCCCCCTTTTGCTGAACACGGACTGTGTCAGGAGCAGTGCTGAAGGCCTCCTCTCTGCGGCAGTCCCGCGGAGGACGCGGGCGTTTTCGCCGTTTCACAGGCATTGATTGGGACCCTTAGCCCGGAGAAGACAGGTCGGCTTCCTCGAGTCACTAGGGAGGTGGGGGTTGGGCCACAACAGATGGGGACGTATCAATGGCAGAAAGTTAACATCTACTGTAAACTGTGTCCCAGGCACTGGGCAGTGTGTCTCATGGCCCCGCTGTGTGTAGATTCTGTTTGTATCCCCATTTCACAGACGAGGGAAGTGAGGCGTGAAGGCAGGACAGTGTTGTGGAGTGGGTAGAAGTCCCAGCTCCACCTTTGCTGGCGGTGGGACCTCAGGGAAGTGACTTAGCCTTTCTGTGTCAGTCTCCTGAGGGTCTGAAGCATTTAGACTAGGTGTTGGCTCTGGCCAAGCGCAGCAAGTTTATAGCTGCTGCTGCTGTTTGGTTTTAGTGCCCGGCCTAGGTTGCAAACGTGAGTGTGGCAGAGTTGGTTGGAACCAGGCAGCCTGGAATTCTGTACCCACCGTGCTCTGCTGCCTCTTGTTGTAATAGTAATGGGAGCAGCCAGCACGGCTCCCTCTTACTAAATGCTGAGTCCGTACAACTTACTGAGCATAGCCCTGTGCCTGTTCCGTCCCGCTCAGCCTTCCACAGCCCAGTCTGCATAAGATTCAGCCAGAAAGCTGAAAAAATCCCAAGTCTTATGTACCTTATGTACCAAAATCGGTCCCCCCAATTTTGGTTTAGATACAGGCCTGAAGCTGGAGAGTTCGTATTGTTTCTAAAATGTTCCCCACACGATGCACCAAGGAGTGGGAACCCTCACCCTAATTTCTTGCTTCACCCTCATGACAACATGTCACTCTAAGACCCTCGGAGGCTTCATTGTACGGATGGTAACACTGTGGTTTGGGGACAGGGACAGGAAGCTGCTGCCTCGGGTTGGCACAGCTGGTCGGTGATGCGGCAGGGTTTGAACCCAGACGGGTCTGACTGCACACCGGGCTGTGGCCGCTCTCCCAGGGTCAGTGTGAGGCTTTGACGTTGTAGAGATTAGAGTCTGGAGCCCTGCCGCTTCCTAGCCACGTGACGGGTGAGCTGCTTACCCCTCTGTGCCCCAGTTTCCTGTGCTGGGAAACGCAAAAAGAGTCCCTACCTGCAGGGCTGACTGATGACAGTGCGCCCAGCACAGCCTGTGGCCCTTTGTGGCACCCAGTGGCCCTCCTTGTGCTGTCCACGCAGAGTGAGGGGCGCGCTGGCTGAGGCCCAGGCGGGCCCGGGGCCTGTAGAGCCAGCTCTAAACAACACGCCGGTCCTGCTGCTCCGCCGGGACCGCCACGGCCCCTTTTCTCTTCCTCGGTCACGTCGGGCCTGACGCCGCCTGAGGGCCCCTGCGCCCGCCGCGCCGCTGCCTGGACTGCTCTTTTCCCGCACACGCACGCTGCTCGCCCCTCACGCTGCCCTCATGTCTCCCCTCCGGCCGTCCCGGCCACCGTCTGAAGCAGCAGCCGCCATCCTACGTTCGTCCTCTGCTTGGTTTTATTCTGTTTTCTGAAGTATTTTTTAAATCCCTAAAATTATTTGTTTTTATGTTTCCCTCCCCAGACTCTCCCACTCGGATGTGAGCTCCAGGTTAGCAAACTTTATTTTCATTTACTTCTGTGCCTAGAGCAGCACCTGGCCCACAGTAGGTGCGCAGTAAATATTTGTGGGAGGAATGGTTCCCTTCGGCCCAGCCGTCGCCCAGTCTGTCCCCCTTTCGCCTCCACAGCCCGCTGGACCCATCCAGCTACAACCCTGCGAAGAACAACTACCATCCCGTCCATGACGCGTGCTGGAAGCAGGGCCAGAAGTGAGGCTTCTCCCTCCCCGCACAGCCCTGCCCTGGCGGGGGGCCCTCTCGGAGTCCTTGGTTGGAGGACACTGTCCAGTGCCTCTATGTTTCGGGGACACAGTTGGCAGCCCTGAAGGGGAGAGAAGACCCTGGGGAGCACGCGGGATAGGGGCGGCATGCCTCTGGGTGTTAGCGGGGCCATCCCCAGGGAGGCGTGGGGAGGCAGGCGGGGGAGGGCCAGTGTGGGTTATGCGTGCTGCTCTGTGTCCCCGCTCCTTCCCCAGGGTCCCTTACCTGGCTGTGGCCCGAACTTTTGAGAAGATCGAGGAGGTTTCTGCTCGGTAATTAATCAGGCCGGCTGGGGGCGGGGCTGTTTGGCTCTGTCCCTTGCCTGGCAGTTGCTTCCCTTCTCCAGGCTCCGGATCGTGGAGATGCTGAGCAACTTGCTTCGCTCCGCGGTGGCCCTGTCACCTCCAGACCTCCTCCCCATCCTCTACCTCAGTCTCAACTGCCTGGGGCCACCCCAGCAGGGCCTGGAGCTTGGTGTCGGAGATGGTGTCCTCCTCAAGGCGGTGGCACAAGCCACAGGTACGGAGGGGCTGTGGTGAAAGTTCCCGCAGGAGGGGAGCTTGGAGAAAGCGGAGAGGTCGGGAGTCAGCTGATGATGGAGAGGGACTTGGAAGAGAGACAGACCAATGGGGAAGAGGGCCTGGTGGGACCGAGCGGCAGGGTGCGGGGGCGGTGGGTCTGGTGAGGGGGAAGCCGGCCGCTCTGAGACGGCCCTGCGGGTGGAGAGGCGGGGCTGGGGAGAGAAGAGCGCTGGATTTGGGGGCAGGGCCTAGGGAGAGAGTGGAGGCCCTAAGGGACTGACCGGTAGAGCCAAGAGGGGCCCAGGGGAGATGAGGAAGGAGTGTTGTGTGCGGAGTTGGTGGCCTGCAGGGGCTGAGCTCCGGTGCTCACAGAGAGGCCGGTGATGCGTGTGGGGGCCGACCTGCCAGCCAGCGGTGTCCCGTGCTTGGTGTTTATTGTGAGGGAGTTGGGGAGCCACAGAAGGATCGTGAGCAGGCCAGGGGCAGGGGCAGTTCCGAGCCTGTGTGGAGGCTGGACAGGAAACTAGGGGTCAGAGAGGAGGCTGGACTGCGGGGAGCAGAGGAGAGGGCAGGAGTGAGGAGAGACGGGGCAACAGGGACCCGCTGGGCTCTGGGGGTCGGGGCATCTTGCTTGATGACTCAGTGGGTCATGGGACCACCACCAGGGCAGGACACTGGTGAGGGGCAGGCCCGTTCAGGGGAAGTGCATCGTTTCCACTGGGGCCTGTGGCTGGGCCACCAGCAAGTGGGGAACCACGTCTTTAGCACGTTAGCACTCACACTCCGGCGTCCCCTCGTGACCCTGAGCCCGGCCCAGCTGCAGGTTTGTTGAGACTGGGTCAGCATTTTGGAAATGCTGTCACTGTGGACAGTGCGCACCTCCACGTCCCAGGTAACTGAAGGTTCACACTTGTCGCTGCCCCTTCTGTGTGATTCCATGGACAGACGCAAGGCCCCACCACTTCGCCATCTCCTCACGTCCTCCGGCGCAGTAGCGGAGCAGCCAAAGACGGAAATGTGCGCTCTTTCATTGTGAATGACCTTCCCGCTCTTCCTTGTGTGTGTGAGTTAGGGCCTTATACTGAAATGACAGTGGCAGTAGGTTATGTCACCTCTGCGTTTCTTTTCAGAGTAGAAAAGAGTGACACCATGTACCCTAGGGCTAATGTGCTAAGACGGAGCACGACAGAGCTGGGTGGCCTCAGCCCCGCGTGCTGTGGGCAGGGGCACCAGCGCGGGCAGCTGCCTGCTCTCGGCCTCTTAGGTTGTGAGAAAAAGGAACGGCTGGTTCTGACGGCATCAGAACTGCGGGTCACAGCTGTTGTTATAACTTGAGTCTCCATTTTCCCAGCCCCCCACTCTTACAGCAAGGGGTGCCCGTGGGACCCAGGCTGGGCAATGAGTAAGGCCAGAACATGTCCAGCGTGTTTAAATGGGGGACTTCAAAAAGTTAGGAGTAACAGCAGCAATAAAAAAGCGAAGGCCTGTTGGTCACTGCCGGAGGGTGTTCATGACAGCTAGGGGGCAGGGGGAGGGTCCCCTGGCCACCCTCTTTGCCTGCGCTCGTGCCCTGGAGATCTCATCCTACCCCGTGGCTTTGACTCCCATCCACACACTGATACCAGGCATCTCTCCTGGTGTAGACGCGTTCGTCCAACCACTTACCTCACTCCTGTGAATGTCTGATAGGCCTCGCACCTGGTGTAATGGGAGACAGATGCTTAATGTGCCATTTCAACAAGTGGGTGGACCATTAGGGAGGCGGCAGTCAGGGGGCTTGCGACAGGCACATGGAGCTGGAGAATATGCATCCAGGCTGCCAGAGAAAGTTGACCTGCAACCACACGCCTTACCCTGCTCCCCACCCTCTGCCCCCACCCAGGCCGGCAGCTCGAGTCTGTCCGGGCTGAGGCAGCCGAGAAGGGCGATGTGGGGCTGGTGGCCGAGAACAGCCGCAGCACCCAGAGACTCATGCTGCCCCCGCCCGCCCTCACCGCCTCCGGGGTCTTCGCCAAGTTCCGAGACATCGCCCGCCTCACCGGCAGTGCTGTGAGTGGGGCGGGGGGCTCGCCCAGCACCCAGGCCCTCTGCTCTTGGCCTGCGGGGCCCAGGCTGCGCTGCGGCATGCGGGCTGCTGGTTAGACTGCTTGGGGCTGGATCGCTTCGGTTCTACGAGGGGCCAGAGCTGCCTTTCCTTCTTCCCACTCAAGACTGCGGGAACCTCCCCTTGACATCTGGCGTTCCATCTAGTGCCGACTGGGTGACAAGACTCTAGAATGATTTGCTGAGTAAAGTTAGGGAGGGAGGGAGGCAAGAAGGCGAGCAGGCCCGTTCTACTGAGCATGGGGCTGGGGGGTTGGGAAGTGGGGTGCAGTGAGCGGGGCCCGTGTTCCAAGGTGGCAGCTCCCCAGGCAGCTGGGTGGCTGGGAGGAGGTGTGGCCCCCTCTCTTCACCCCCAGGCCCTGACTGCTCTCCCCCCACCTCTTCAGTCCACAACAAAAAAGATGGACATCATCAAAGGCCTCTTCGTTGCCTGCCGCCACTCGGAAGCCCGGTTCATTGCCAGGTGAGTGTGTGGGCCTGTGAGGCGGGGCGGGGCGGGCAGCCGGAGCCCCCGCCAGTGCCTGGAGCCCCTCAGGTGAGAGCAGCACGGGCGAGGAGCGATGGGGACACAGGTCTCCTCCGCGGGCAGCCCCTCCCCTTGGTAGTCCTGCCCGGGGAAGGGTCCTGCGCTCCTGGGTAAAGGGGGCTGTGCGTGATGAGTGGCGTCTGCTTTGGCCTCCGCCTGCAGTGCAGCGTGGGTGCCAGGGGGTTGCCATGACGGTGAAAGCACCGCCGTCGACCTCCTGGAGCGTGGCTTGGGCGCCCTGCCCCGGGCCGCGTGCTTCAGCCCAGCAGCGCCTCCCCGCAGCTCTGCGAGGCTGGCCCTGCTGTCCCCACCCAGTTGACAGAGGGGGAGAGGGAGGCACAGGGAGGTCAAGACTCGCGCTCGAGGTCACTGGCCCAGAGCACACAAGTGCCCGTGGCAGGTCCTTGACCATCACACTCGGGCAGCACTGGGGCAGGCTGTGCTTGGCTCCGGGCCGGCGCTGCCCTGCCGCCCCTCCTCAAGCCTCACCACTTTCCCAGGTGAGGTGAGAGGCAAAGGCGCCTGTGAGGCACGTCATTCTGTCCCCTGGAAATGCCAGTCGTGACTGTAGCCGGCTGGCCTTAGTTTCCTTATCTGTTAAGTTTGGGCCCCTTCTGGCCCTGAGGGCTGTTTGAGGAGAGGTCTCTAATGGGGGCTGAGGTGGGAGCTGAGGCGTGGGAGCCGTGGGAGCCGGGGTAGGTGGAGCAAGGCGGAGAGGGCAAGACGCACAAGCGCGCGCTCTCTCCCCCAGAGCCCTGAGTGGACAGCTGCGCCTCGGGCTGGCGGAGCAGTCGGTGCTGGCCGCCCTCGCCCAGGCTGTGAGCCTCACGCCCCCAGGCCAAGGTGAGCCCCCTAGGGTCCCCGGGCCCACCCCTCGAGGTAACTCGGGCTCCCCTTCTCCTCCGTGAAGTCCACACACCCCTTCCCTGGGCGGTTCTGCCTCCTGCTGCCGCTCCAGGTGCCTTCCCGGAGGCAAGTGTCCCCGGCAGCAAGTTTACCTGCCTCGCCTACAGCACCACCCACTGTGGACCTTCGGGGGCTGAGGGGGTCGGGCCACCCAAAGCCTCTCCTGCTCCTTGTCTTAGAATTCCCCCCGGCTGTGGTGGATGCTGGGAAGGGCAAGACAGCAGAGGCCAGAAAGACGTGGCTGGAGGAGCAAGGCATGATTCTGAAGCAGACGTTCTGGTGAGATCCAGCGGCTGTGGCAGTGTGGGGGTCCGGGGGAGCCAGAGGGGCCACGGGTGATGTGGGGGCAGTGTGCGGGACATGGGGTCACAGGTGACGTAGGAGGGGCCAGTAGCTGGCAAGCATTAGTGACCGTCCTGGGGCTGGCGATGGAGCACAAGGTGGCGACCTAGACAAGACTGGTGCTGGGCACAAGGATGGTGACGAAGATCAGGACGGTGGCAGACAGGAAAGGGTCAGCGGGCTCAGGTCTGCCCGCTCGTGGGGATCACAGACTTGCGCCCAGGCCCCCTGGACCAGTTAAACCACCACCTTGGGGAGGTGGAGCCTGGCCTGGGAGAAATATTTTTTTTTATATCCCTGACTGCGTCTAATGTGCAGTGTAGGTGGACAGTTGCTAGTCTCCAGAAGACAGATGTGGGGGGTGACTGCAGCTCAGGCCGGGGGGGTCGAGTCAGACTGATGTGTAGTGACACAGAGGGAGGACCGGGACAGAGACAGCAGAGGCAGTGACAGGAGTCAGGGACAGGTGGGAGCTGACCCAGGGACAAGGTGACAGGCAGGCAGAGGTGGATCTTGCAGCCAGCGAGCGGTTTCCGGGCTGCCCGGCCTGTGAGCTCCGGAAAGACGCCTCCTTGCTCTCCCCACTCCCCGACCCCAGCGAGGTGCCCGACCTGGACCGGATCGTCCCTGTGCTGCTGGAGCACGGCCTGGAGCGGCTCCCGGAGCACTGCAGGCTGAGTCCAGGTACCGGCCGCCCCGGGCCCCGCAAAGGGCTGGTGACAGCCCCACCCTGCACACAGCTGGCTCCGCGGCCATGGGAGCTGGGGCTGGCCCTCCTCCAGGGCCCCCTCCCTCCGCCTGGCCTTGGCTTCTGCCCTCCGGGACAGCTGTGGGGCGTCCCCTCCTAGACACCCCGCTCAGGACCTGCTGAATCTTCTTTGTCCACCAAAGTGGAGTCCTGTTCCCTGGTGCCGGCGCCCCCCCCACTCCCCGCGGGCCCCCTCCCCCGCGCCAGAGCTCCCGCTCTGTACTAGATGGAGCCTAGACGCGGCTGCCCCACGGGCAGTGTCTCAGGCCACACGAGTGTCTCTCACACACGTGCCCAGGGAGGCAGGCGGCCAGGGAGGGCCCTTGGCTGTGCTCCAGGGATCCCACAGGGATCTGGGCTGCTTCTGTCTTGTCACTTTGTCATCCCAGGGCTGTCACCCTAATGTATATGATTACAGATGGCTCTTATCTCTGTTCTAGATTTCGAGCTGAGGGAAAGCGAGAGGGGGCAGCCACATCCCTTGTGAGGGTGTGGCCCAGACCCTACACACAGTGCTTGTGCGTGCAGTTAGCAGTCTGCACAGTCGGTGGTTCAGTAACTCTCCCTGTCCCTTCCCCTCCCAGGGGTCCCCCTGAAACCAATGTTGGCCCACCCCACCCGGGGTGTCAGCGAGGTCCTGAAACGCTTTGAGGAGGCCGCCTTCACCTGCGAGTACAAATACGACGGGCAGAGGGCACAGGTACGGGGGCGCCGCATCCCTTCAGCAGAAAGGACAGGGCCAGAGCAGCAGGTGTGGGTACAGTCGCCCCAGCTCAGCCTCGGCCTCTGCGGACTGCCCTTCTGCCCGGCCTGTCTCTCGGGGCTTAGTTCCCGCCTCTGGGTGAGGGCCGCGATAATGACCGCCTCCCTGGCTTATCTGAAAAGCAATTTTATCTGGTCAGGTCGTCAAAATTCCTGAGCCCCAGCAGTGGGAGCTCAAGAAGCGTCAGCCGCGCTCAGGCCCTGGTGGGTGTGTTCATTGTAACAGGCGCCCGCGTCACTCTTGGTGCAGACACCCAAGTGTGGGCCCTGTGACCCAGCCCCTGAGACGTCCTGTCGGGTCTGTGGGATCCCTGTGTGGCTCTGCTGCTCTTTTCATTGCCTGGGCATGCGTGTCACGGATACCATGTCACAGATACCGTGTCACAGCTGGATCCTCAAAGTACAGTGCTGAGGAAAAACATCAGAAACAAATCATTTACAATAGTGACGGTGATTTCAAGTATATTTGCATGTTTTAAGTCACATATATGTAATATCCCACACAGCTATTTCTTGTGATAACACACATGTAAGATGGCATAGATGTAGCACTGCACTGTGACCAGCCTGCACTAAAATAAATAACAGTAAAATCCAGGATGATATTTGCAGCATAATAACATCTAGACAAATCGACATGTACATCCACAGCGAGACCCTTGTGCTGACGGGGGAGAGGAGGGGTTGGGGTGACAAGGAAAGAGACGGAGGGGTGGGAGATGCTGTTCAAAAGGAGGTGATTTGCTCAGGTCTCTGACGCAGATTGTCCTCCAGGGCTCCCGGGACCTCTGCCGGTGGGAGTGGGGTCAGAAGAGAAAGGAGGGGCTTCCTAGAGTGGACTGGGCTCTGACTTATCCCCCTCCCACTGTCAAAGATCCATTTTCTAGAAGGCGGGGAGGTGAAGATCTTCAGTAGGAATCAGGAAGACAACACCGGGAAGTACCCTGACGTCATCAGCCGCATCCCCAAGGTGGGTGTCTGCCAGCCGCCTCCCCTCCGCCAGGGGCTGCGGTTACCCGTCTGGGCCGGCCCGCTGCCGCGGACGTTACTGGGTCTGTGTCGCAGGTGTCTCTTTGTATTTGGTACCAAGTTGTCCGTGGACCTTGAGAGCTGCAGCCCAAAAAGGACATTTGTTTCCCTGTGTCAGTCTGTGGCCTCGGGGTCCCCCGCCTCTCACCAGCTCTGGGTTTCCCCCTTCCGCTTTCAGATAAAACTCCCGTCAGTCACATCTTTCATTCTGGACGCGGAAGCGGTGGCTTGGGACCGGGAAAAGAAGCAGATCCAGCCGTTCCAAGTGCTCACCACCCGCAAACGCAAGGTAGCTTCAGCCCCTCTTCACTGCCTGCCATGGTCCCTCATTCCCTCACCCTCCTCCCAGTCCCGCCCAACCCCCAGAGGGTCAGAGTGTCGGGGTGCCGTTTTCTCAGCCTTTTGCAAGATGGCTGCCGCAGCTCCAGCCATTGCGTTCTTATCCCAGCGTACCAAGTAGATGGGATAGAATCTATTTTCCTACAACTCTGTTTTTTATTATGAGAGACAGTCTGTTCCAGGAGGCCCTACAACCCGCACCCCAGCAAACTTCTTTATTCTCATGGGCCAGAATTGTGTCCTGTCACCTCCGTTAGCTGCAAGGGAGGCTGAGCGAGCAAATACCCGGCAAAGGGGAATGAGACTGGGCTCAGCTGAGAGCCATCACAATTCAGAATCTGGGCATTGCCACCCTCACAGGTGTGCATGCCATTAGGTGGGGTGCAGGGGAGAGTGGTAGGTGACGAGTGTCTGCCCCAGGCCCGATGGGAGGGGACCCAACCAGGCCCCGGCTCACCTTTCCCACCCCTGCTCTCTCATCTGCCCCGACGCAGGAGGTGGACGCAGCGGAGATCCAGGTGCAGGTGTGTTTGTACGCCTTCGATCTCATCTATCTCAATGGAGAGGTGAGTTCTGGCCTCGCTTCCTGGCACAGCGAGGGGTAAGCTCGGGAGCCAGTGGTCTGAGTTTCATTTCTCAGTGCCACGCCACTGACTCGGGCCTGGCACCTGCTCTCATATCGCAGCTCTCTCCTCCCAGCTGTGCGCCGCAGACGACTGACTCCACCTTTCTGTCTCGGTTTCCTCATCCATCACGCAGAGCTACCAGTAGCGCCCGCTGTGTCTGTCTCAGGCAGGTTAGGGGTGGCACACGGGCATGGAGCGCAGCGGCTGGCACGTGGGAGCCTTTGATAAAACTTGCTGCCCTCACCCTCTTCATCCCACGTCATCTTTGACGACCTGTAGCTGAACAGCGGCAGCTCGGCCTTCCCACTTACCTGTGAGGTGGAGCGTCTTCAGACTTCTGGGCCGTGGGCGTTGGTTTTGTGACTTGCCCACTTGTGACTTGTGACTCTGCTGAGTTCTTACCCTTGCCTTTTTGTGTGAAAAGCTGCTTTCCTTAGGGCCCACATCGTGGTCCTGCTGCTGAGATGCATCCAGCGCCCAACCACCCTACTTGTGACACAAAAGAACAGTAGCATTTAACCTCACAGAACAGCTGTAGGAGGACCAACGGGATTCTGCTTTTGTTTCCCCAGATCTTTGGGGGGAAACATCAAATGTTAGCCGCTCTGTGTTTTTCCCTCCATGTTTTGATTGTCCCTACTCTGCTGGGCCCCTCATGTCAGTAGCATTCCAAATATCCTTTCTTATTTGGTGCTTGCCTTTTAACTTGGTTGATAGTCTTTTTTTGCTGTATAGCACTTGTTTTTAACTATTATTCTATATGTTGTCAAACATATTTTTCCCCCTTAATGCATCCTTATCCCTGGGATTAAAAAGGAAAAAAAAAATCATCCTTTTCCTAGGATTCTCTTTTCACTTAGGCTCTGGCCAGTGTGGCTTGGTTTGTTGGAGTGTTGTTCCGTAAACTGAAAGGTTGCGGGTTCGATCCCCAGGTGGGGAACTACCTAAGTTGCAGGTGCAGTCCCCAGTCAGGGCTGGCAACCGATCAATGTTTCTATCTGGCAGTGATGTTTCTCTCTCGAGTCTCTCTCCCCAGCTTCTCTCTCTAAAAGCAATGAAAAAATGTCCTTGGATGAGGGTTAAAAAATTATTTTCACTTAGCTTTTCCCCTAGTATCTTCACAGTATCTTAATGTTTTGCTTTGGAATCTATGTTCTGGCTGGAGTTTGCATGTGTGTTGGGCAGGAAGTGGGTGATCTGGCTTTCTTTTTAGCAGAGGACAAGTCAGTTTTCTCAGTCATTTATTGACTGAATTCATGTCTCCCGCTGCTTGAGTCACGTTTCGGGGACCCTGGCCCAGCCCTCTCTGTACTCGGTGCGCTCGGCCCCTCTCCTGGCACAGCGGGCTGGTCTTTTAGTTCCCAACTTGTACTGATACTAAACTATTCTCACTGCTTGCCCTCCAGATGCACATCGAAGCTTTGTCCATCAACAGTGTTTTTCTGTTGTAAAATCATCCCAGGGAACATTTTGTACAGAAAGCTGTGTGCAGACCCCGGAATCAGGCCACTTAGGCTTTGTGTTCCAACCACACACTTCCCAGCTGGTGGCTTGGGGCAAACGACTTAGCCTCACCGCTCGCCTATAAAGTGGTGTAACACCTGAGAGCAGGTCTGGAAGGCGAGCTGAGCTGTTCGGCTCCTTTCCATCCTGCACAGGGAGAGCTGAGCAGCTGTGACAGACGGAGCAGCTCACAGAGCTGGGGGTAGAGTGAAATTTGGTTGTTCATAGGAAAAGGTTGCTGACCTGTGCATTCACAGAGAAAATACCCTCTCGGAAGCCTGTCCGTGTTGTAACCTATGATCATGGGCTTCTCCGTGCCTTGATTCAACTGGTGGTAAAAAAGGAACCATAGTCTCGGTTATAAGAGAACTATTCAAGCTCTAGCAGGGCCGTGGCTCCCCTTCTTGTGCTCCTGACTCCTGAGCTCTAAGTGGCCTCCCGCCCCCTTGCCACTGGCCAGCCTGGTCCTTCCGCACTCAGAGCCCTCACGTGGGTGTGGTTCTTCCCTCTCGAGGCCTTCATTCGCTGCCTGTGACTTGTGATCCCTGCGCTTCCTGTTTCAGGGCCTCTTCTCTTCCCTTCCGCAATGACGTCCCTTCCTCTCTCTCCTGCCCCCTCAGTCTCTGGTACGCGAGCCCCTCTCCAGGCGCCGGCAGCTGCTCCGGGAGAACTTTGTGGAGACAGAGGGTGAGTTTGTCTTCGCCACCTCGTTGGACACCAAGGACACAGAGCAGATCGCCGAGTTCTTGGAGCAGTCGGTGAAAGGTAAGGGGCCCCGCCCTGGACGGTTCGCTGGAGCCTGCCGGCTCCTGCTGCGGCCGCAGTGAGCCCCCGCGTCACACGGGCCGCGCTTCTGTGTCTCCTTCAGACTCCTGCGAGGGGCTGATGGTGAAAACCCTGGACGTCCATGCCACCTACGAGATTGCCAAGAGGTCGCACAACTGGCTCAAGGTGACTCTGTCTCCCGCCAGCCTTCCCTCTGTGCCCTGACCCTAGAAGTCTTTCCTGAGCTGGCTGTCATCTCCAAGTCCCCACACTTCACCGTTTCAGCTCAGGAGCCTTTTATTTACTTATTTTTTGATGGGATTTTTAAAAAAATCCTCAAAGATATGCTTATTGATTTTAGAGAGAGGGAGGAAAAAAGAGAGATAAACAGTGTGAGAGAGACATCTATCGGTTGCTTCCTGTACGTGCCCTGACCGGGGACAGAACCCGCAGCCTTCTGGTGCACGGGATGATGCTCCAACCAGTTGAGCCACCCGGCCAGGTCTTGAACCCTCTGCCTCCACTGCAACCAGCCTCAGGTCTTCTCTCCTATAAGTCCGTGTTAATGACTGCCTTGGGGACTGGTTGGGAACGCCCCAGCCAAGTGCCCTGCAGGCCGCAATGGGAAAGCCAGGTGAGGCTGCTCGTGCCCTGAGCCTGCCTTCCGTGTTGGGCAAGGAGCTCAGCCAGGACACGAGGGAGGTAAGTCAGGTGGTAGTGAGCGCTGGGAGGACAGGAGTGAACTGAGGGACAGCGAGGGCAATTGGAAAAAGCCTCTCCGGAGGTGACATTTGGTTCAAGACACAGACGACAGGAAAGGTTGGCCACGTGAAGGTCGGGGCAGACACCTAGGCAGGCTGAGCAACGGGGGTTGGGGGGCAGCAGGTCCCCACCGTGCGCTGTGTGGTGGGCCTTAGTGACATAAAACTGGACCTTCCCCTGAGGGTTTCGGGAGGCCAGCAGAGGTTTCAGCAGGATGGCACACGGTCTGGCTGTCGTTTTGCACAGGTCCCCTGGCTGCCCTGTGGATGGTGGTGGGTGCCGGGCAGAAGGGGGGCCTGTGGGCAGGAGGCTGTTGTCTGGTAACAGCTGATAGAGAGGGACCGCGGAGGGGCGGGGCCCGAGCAGGAGGGGAGTGGGGGGACGGCCTGCGTGGCCAGCCTGCAGGCTGGGTGTCTCTGCGTTTGTGAGCCGTCTGTGGTCCACCCCTCGCCAGCCTCTAAGCAGCTAGGAGGGCACGAGCCTTTCCTGCCTTAGGCAGCAGAGACGGCGCGTCCCCGAGGCTGAGCTCCTGCCTGGCACACTGTTGGCACTTACTTGTGTTTCTGGAACAAATGGATGCATGTCCTCTGTGTGAAGGAGCAAGCGGAACGTGTCTCTGTACTGAGGGAAAGGGGGAATCCAGGGTGGCTCCCAGTCTCCCTGTCCCCTCCGTTGTACCTGCTCTTCCCATGGCAGTCACCGCTTTCCCACCCGCGCTCTCAGCCTAGAAGCCCATTCCATGTCCCTTCTTACGGCGGCCATCCTTGGTCTTCTTTATGGGAATTCTCCTTAGATGCACCCCAGCCTCTCCTCAGCCCCCCGATTATACAACATTCCCCCTCATCTTCTGCCTCCCCCCCTCCCAGCTGAAGAAGGACTACCTGAACGGAGTGGGCGACACCCTGGATCTCGTGGTGATCGGCGCCTACCTGGGCCGCGGGAAGCGGGCCGGCCGCTACGGGGGCTTCCTGCTGGCCTGCTACGACGAGGAGAGCGAGGAGTTCCAGGCCATATGCAAGGTGCTGGGAGCTGGGCTCGGCACGGGGGTCGGGGGGCCGATCCACTCACCCTGGGGAGGGCCTGGGTCAGGGGGCTCCCACGTCCTCCCTGTGATGGATCCTTTTCTTTCCTAGTTCCTATTTATTTTTTCTGATCCTATAAAGTAACTCTTGCTTCATGTAGAAAAGTGGGCCAATATAGAAAGATGGGAGGAAGCTGTGTCTGTTAGGAATTGAGTTCAGATAATGGTGGCTTAAGTGAGAGATGGGTTTTTTCCTCATATAGTGAGAAGTCTAGAAGGGGGCAGGCAGCTCTTTGGTGTCATTAGGGACTGAGGCTTCTTCTCTTCCCACAGTGGTTTGTGTCAGGTGCTTCAGGCCTCTTCTGCACAATGGGGCTGCAGGAGCTCCAGCTGCCGCGGCCATTCGTGCTCGGCCCCTAGGCAGAAGGAGAATGGGCCGCCTGAGTCAGCCTTAGCCAGTGAGCAACTTCTGCTTAAGTTGCATTGGTCAGAACCTTGCTCTATGGCCCAGCCCTTCTGCAAGGGAGCCTGGGAAGTGTAGGGGATTTCTATTTCGTTGAAAGCTGCACACATTGTTGATCTAACAAGTTAGGGACTTCGGCACAGAAACAGAATATCACCTACAATTCCATTGCCAGAGGCAACCACTAGTCACATTTAAGGGAATGTTTTGTTTCTACAAAATTGTGTTCCTTCTATATGAGTAATTCTGTTTCCAGCTTTTTGCCCTGTAAGTACTGTGTTTTCAGTGCTGTCAGATGCATTTGAGTTGTATACTGATGAGAAATGTTAGAGAGTTTCACATGCCGTTCGGGGCTTTTATGAAGGTGACGCCACGTGCTCCCATGAGAGTTCTCAAGTAGCTGGGCCCCCGTGTGCCAGCCCTTCCCTGCGGCTGGGTGGTCGTTGTTGCAGCTTTGTTCTTACGAATAAGTCAGCACGGTGTGTGCGTTCACTCATAGTCTGTGATGTTACAATTCACAAATATCTGTGGCCGCCCGTCTGTCACCATTTTATGTTATTTGCCTAGAATAGTTTTCTGCAAAGCCATTGCCCAGACAAACGGTGAGCAAATTTCAGGGCTCTCAATACAAAAGTTGTCTACCTTGCTATTTTGCCAACATTAGGGACTATTTTTTAGCCTTCCACATCGGTGGGTGAAAGGAAGCTCTTGGTCGTGTTAGGGTTGGACATGACACCGGTTACGGGGCAGGTGGGATGTCAGGAGACCCAAGAGCGACTTCCAGGGCCAGGGAGACAGGGCAGAAGGAGCAGGGACCGTGGCCGGGACAGGGGTTGTGGGGGGCTGGCTGGGCGCGCGGCACCCCAGCCTGTCCTCAGTGGTTTCTGTGCATCTGGTGAGGCTGGCGCGGGGTGGGGGCCACCGGTGTGGGCTCCTAGTCCCCAGGGGCAGGAGCAGGGGGAGGGAGGCCGCACCGAGCCTCTGACCCGCCCCTCGTCCCCGCAGCTCGGCACTGGCTTCAGCGACGAGGAGCTGGAGGAGCACCACCGGAGCCTCCAGGTGAGCAGCGCGGGCGCCTGCCCCCACAGCGCACTCCCCGTGTGTGCGGGGCTGCCAGCCTCCATTGTTTCGGGGCTCAGGGCGCAGCCCGGGCAGCGGGCAGTGGACCCGGCTTTGGAGCCCAGCATGTCCTGGTTCAAGCCCCAGCTGTGCCGGCCACTAGCCAGTGACACCAGTTGGGAAGCCTTGCCTCCCCGAACTCAGTGCTTCAGCCCCGGGGGGCAGAGGGGCGCGCTTGTGCGGGGTTCCCTGAGTCAACCTGTGGGGTGCTAGCTGAGTTCCTTCTAAGTGGGAGTGTTTGTGGTCACAGGTATTTTGGGTATGACTGTCTCTGTGTATTGGTGTCTCTGGTTCTGTTTCTGTTCATTCTCTGGTTCTCTCTCTCTCTGCCTCTGTGCCTCTCTCCCTCTCTGGGTCTTTGTCGCTCTCTGTGCCTCTGTAAGTCTTCAGTTTCTTGTCTCAGCCCCCAGGGTCTCTGTCTTTTATTTCTCCCCTCCCATTTCTCGCCACCCTCCATCCCTGGCTTTCGTACTTTGAGTGTCTGTGTCTCTGTCTTCCCCCCCTTGACTTCACTTCCCAACCCCCCAACCCTTGGCCTTGACTCTGAGACCTGAGACCCTCTGTTCCACCTCCTGCCGCTCGCTGCAGGCCCTGGTGCTGCCCGCCCCGCGCTCCTACGTCCGGGCAGACGGTGCTGTGGCCCCCGACCACTGGCTGGAGCCCAGCATCGTATGGGAGGTCAAGTGCGCCGATCTCTCCCTCTCCCCCATCTACCCTGCTGCCCGGGGCCTGGTAAGTGGCTGGGGTGGGGCAGACCCTCCAAAGGGATTCCGATGGGAAAGGGGAGGGGGCCCTTCCCGGGTGGTGACTGGGAAACTCGAGCTTGGGTTTTATTTGGGTGTCAGATAATGGGGTCAAAAGTCTTGGGGTTTTTTTGGTTTGTTTTTTAAAGAAATGCCCCAGGAGTAGAAAGAAAACAGTGAAGTGGCTCCATTTCCTATCATCATCCCCCACTCAGCTCTTAAGTAATTTTTGAAAATAGTTCTTTTAAGTAAAACTTTACGGCACATCCTGCTACCAAGTCTTAAATTCCCTGTCTCACTAGCGGTGCAGTTCTCAGCGCCCGCGGCAGGGCCAGGCGCCCGGGAAAGTGCTGCCCGCTGCCCGGCCCAGGGGCAGCCCCGTTCTCTCCTTCAGAAGAACTGGAGCTCTCACATTTATACATGTGCTCCCTTTAAGCTTTCTTCTGATCCTTCAAAATCTAGCAGATGCTTTTCTGGTTGGAAGCGGACTTCCATTTAGAGGGGGAACTCGTGTTTTGGATCAAATTTCTTTCTTGAATCTTCTCACGAAGTCAGGGTCCCCAGCTAACAAGAGATGGGAGCAGCCTGTGCAGCAGGCGCTGCGCCAGTAAGACGGCACCTGCGCACACGCACTGACTCCCCATGGAACCGCTGAACCGCCCGTTTTACAGATGGGGACAGAGCGCCCCGGGAGCTTAGGCTCCTGGCCCTGGGTCTCGCGCTCCTGGGAGCTGAGAGCTGAGCTTTGACCCCACAGCCTGGTTCTAGGATCCACACCGTGACCCTGCCATTGTGCCTCTCGGCCCTAATAATAATAGCTGCACAAATAACAGCGGCTCAGCTGCTGCCTCTTAAGCACTTCTCCTGTGCCAAGTACAGTCCCGAGGTCTTTATTCCCTCATTTAACCCTTACAGCGGCATTGCTTAGCCCCGTGGTAGGGATCAGGAAACGGAGGCCAGAGGCGCAGGAGCGGGAGGAGACTTTGACAGGGAGTCGTTAGTGAGGACCGAGGGCTGGACCCTGGAGGTTCCCACCGCCCCCCTGCCTCCCCAGGTGGACAGTGAGAAGGGGATCTCCCTTCGCTTCCCTCGGTTTATTCGCATTCGTGAGGACAAGAAGCCGGAGGCGGCCACCACCGGTGCCCAGGTGAGGCCCCGGGGAGGGGGCGGGCCTGCCTGGCCGCTGGCTTCCCAGAGATGTGGACACTGGCCTGGAATGGCGGGCAGGTGGGAGCCCATGGCTCTGACCCCCGGCCTGTGCCTCTCTCCTCAGGTGGCCTCTCTGTACAGGAAGCAAAGTCAGATCCAGAACCAGCAGGGCGCAGACGCGGACTCCGACCTGGAGGGCTTCTACTAGACCCTGTCCCGCTGGGCCCGGGCGGGCGCCTGGGGCGTGGCCTCCGCTGAGCAGGCCTGGCGTGCAGGCAGAGTGTGTGCAGTGTGTGCAGTGTGTGTGCGGGCTGGTTTAAGCTGGGGGTTTAGTCATTTTTTTGTCAATAAATAATTATTAAACACGTGCTCTGCGTCGAGGTCCGTGCCGGGCTCGGGTGCGCTCTCAGCTCACAGTGGGCTGCCGTGTGACAGCGCCGGGGACCGGCCGACTGAGCCAGCGCCTCCAACACAACTTGCTGCAGTGCAGAAATACCTTATATCCGCGCTGCGCGGTATGACAGCCACCGGCCACTGGCAGCTGGTGAGCCCTTGACATGTGGCCGGAGCAACCGAAACTCATACTCTAATTTTTAATTAAATTCACAGCCCCATGTAGCTGTGTGTGTTTTATCCATCCTACTCTCCCCAGCATGCTCGCTGCTGGGCATTTCTCCTGCTATTTTTCCTGATCCAGAGGCAACCAGCCCTTCCCTTCTTCCTGCCTCAGACATGTATGTAATGGTCACGCTCATGAGGAACAAGCCAGGAGAGTCAGAGAAAGTAGCGCTGACCACCCTTAGCCAGGGAACTAAGGTCGGCTGCCGCCTAACCGGGCTTCTGGTCATGGGGGAGGTGATTACACCATGTTAAAATGGACTTTCTGCCCCGGCTGGTGTGGGTCTGGATTGAGTGTCTGCCTGCAAACCAAAGGGTCACCGGTGTGACTCCCAGTCAGGGCACACGCCTGGGTTGTGGGCCAGGTCCCCAGTAGGGGGCGTGCGAGAGGCAACTGCACATTGATGTTTCCCTCTTCTCCCTCCCTCCCCTTCTATAAATAAATAAACTTTAAAAAATGGTTCTTAGAAAGGTCTTAAGCAAAAGGGCTCTACCATAAAGGACTGACAGATTAACATGCATCCATACTTACCAAGTTCCAATAAAACATTTAAGGCAAAAGAATATTTGATCAGGTGTGAAGCATGGCACGTTGGGGCATCCGGTGCCCGCCTTGCCCTGTGCAGAGCCCGTGAGGGCGGGCGGGGTTTTCGGGGGGAGCGCTGGGCCGGGACGCCCCCTCGCCGCACCCCCGCGCACCCCTCCCCCAGCAACCGCGGCTTCCGTCCAGGGCCGGGCAGGGCAGGGGCAGCCTCACTCGCCAAAGGCCCTCAACAGCCCCACTGCGTAGGTACTTCGATGACCCTGTTTCACAGACGGGGACGCTGAGGCACAGAAAGGTAAATCGCGCTCCCTGGGTCTGTTGCCTAGGAAACGGAGGGTCAGGATCTGGTCCAGGCCGCTGCCTGTCACTACAGTGTCCCTGAGGAGAGCCCCGTGTGCCCCTGCGAGGACGTGGCACCTCCTCCCCAGGCACGGAAGGGACAATTCTGGGAGGGAACACGAGATGCCAGTGGCGGGGGGTAGGGACACGGAAGAGGAGAGCCAGGCGTTGCAGGGAGCTCAGAGCCCATCGCCACCCCCCACCCGGGGCAAAATCGGTTCCTTATAGAAATTGTCAAAACCGGTCAGGGGGAGGGGACGCTTGGAGCGGGGCTCAGGGGTAGCTACGCAGGAGGGAGGTTTGCAGGGGCAGTAGTTCATGACTGCATGTAAGTTAAAGCGTCATCTCCGTATGACACATGACTGATGATGTCCCTGTTAATCGTGTGATTGAAGTAGTGGCCACCTGGCTTCCCCACTCTACAGTGACTCCTTTGAAACTACTATTTTGTCAGGAAGTATTTGAGCTACGTAAATATCATCCAAATTGCCATTGATTTTTTTAAAAAATCTGTGGAATCCTGGTTTCCTACGTTATCTGATATAATTTATTATTTACTTTGAATTTCAAATTGCCCCTGACTTGCCCAATGGCACTTCCTCGAGCCGACCTCTGTCCCCGTAATGGAGCATTCTTGCTCTATGGCACAATGGGATGTTTAGGCTCATCTTACACCTCTTGCTCCAGACGCGGAATCGGCCATTTCTCCTAGGAGTCTGGGTTCCTTTCCTCGGAGAGCGGTATCTAGGAGTCAAGATCTGGGTGCAAGAGGTGCTCATTAACATCGGGTGCGGCTGCTTCTGTGTCCTCGGAGAGCCAGGGATGATATGCTCAAGCTCCCCGCACACCCGGCGACGCCGGAAGTCCCTGACGACACACCAGCGCCTCCGACTTCAGTCCAACACCACAGGGCTCCTGCTCTCCCCGTTTCCGTTACTGGCTTCCTTCTCCCACTGAGAAAACGGATCCCATTATCCTTAACACAATCCACGTGTGCGACCGACGTCCCCTCTCCGTGGCCACCCCTCTTTGGCGGGGACACCTTTCTCACCCTGAGCTGGCTTCAACACCCTACATTGCACCACCCCCATGAGGGGACGTCCTTGTACAAACCCCCTTGCGAGGCGAAGGTGCCTGAGCGAGACCCTCTTCACTCAGCTCATGCTCCCGTGTGCACCCAGGCTGCTCGCTCTTGGTCCCTCCTCACCTTCCCAGGGCCCAGCTAGGGGCCCAGCTGCCCCTCTGTGGGGACTCCTCCCTCACTCCAAACCCTGTTTGAACTCTGGCTCCCCACAATGTGCTCCCCGCCCCGTCCTCTCCCCCGCCCCCCATTGCGTCCTTGGGCTCTGGCACCACTGTGACCCCTCACTGTGACCCCTGAGTCAGCACAGATGCCTTGCTCCCCAACCCCCACCCCACACCCATTATTCAGGAAGAAAGGAAGAGACAAGATGAGCCAAGGAGGTGCATATACCAACCTCTTAAACCGCTACCCACGCCTCCTTGCTGGGGTCAGATCGCCCCCTAATTCTTGCATCCTGCTCCTTGGCGCACATTCCTGACTTCCTCCAAAGCTCCTTGAGACCTAACAAAAGATGCCCGTTCGAACCAAACAGACCTGGCCCACCCGCTGCGTAATTGCATACGCTTACAGCAGGCGAATTCATGACCCAGAGCCTCAGTCTCCACTTCTGTAAAATGGAAATGAGAGTGAGTAGTTCTGAGGATTAAATGACATCAGGAACGCAGAGCCCTTTGTACAGGGCTGGATGCGGAGCAAGCGATGTGAAGTCACTGCTGTGTGACGTCCTCACGGTCCCGTGTGCCCAGAGGCCACCAGAGGCTGGGCTTCCAGCCAGCGCTCAACGCACTTGTTGGAGCACCTAATGAACGGACGCCCTCTGCTCTGATCCCCACTCTTTAAACTCTTTTCAGTTCCATTCTGGGGATGATAAAAGGTCAGAGCCTGGGACCGGCCGCCCCTCCCGCCTCTCTCAAGCCAGATGGGGAGGCAGGGACCGCTGCGATCCCTCCCCGCCCAGAGTAGAGATTCCCCACCGGGCTGTCACAGCTCGACGACACCGGGACTGAGGGCAGAAAGAGTGGGCAGGGAAGCAACAGAGAAGCGAAGGAGGCTGAGCCACCGAGGAGGCCGGGAAGGAGGGGAACCGTCCTGAGACCGGCGCGCGGTGCGCTCCGCCCTGCCCGCTCCATGCAGTTCCCCACGGGCCCCGCCTGCATCTTTCTGAGGAAAGGCATCGCGGAGAAGCAGCGGGTGAGGCGGCGGGGAGGCCGGGGGAGGGGAAGCGCAGGCTGGGCGCCGGGAACGGCGAGCGGAACCGGAGGGGAGAGCGTGAGGGAAGGAGGCAGGAGAATCCGGGGAGCGCGGTGGGGACCTGAGGCGCCGCCAAACGGGCGAGGGTGGAATTGGGAGGGCGGCGCCAAAGGAGGGAGATGAAGGGGGCGAAAAAAGGAAAGAGGAGCTGGGGTGATGTCAGTAGGGGCGACCGTCGTCGTTTTTCTCTACGGACACCCAGAGTGGTGGCGGCGGTGATGACGATGATAATGTGATGACGGGGATAGCCGCCACTTGTGAAGCCATTGCTATTGCCCAGCCCGGTGCAAAGGCTCTGCGTTCCCGATGTCATTTAATCCTCAGAACTGCTCTCGAGGTCGGGAATACTTTCGTTCCCATTGTACAGATGAGGAAACTGAGGCTGAGCCATGAAGTCGCTTGTGTTAAGTTTCTGTTTGGTTCTGATGGGCATCTTTATCAGGCTTTAAATCAAATAACGATAATTAGCCCTGGCTGGTGTGGCTCAGTGGATTCAGTGCCGGCCTGCGAACCAAAGGGACGCTGGTTCAATCCCCAGTCAGGGCACAGGCCTGCGTTGTGGGCCAGGTCCCCAGTAGGGGGCGCACGAGAAGCAACCACACATTGATGTTTTCTCTTTCTCCCTTCCCCTCTCTAAAAATAAATAAATAAAACCTTCTAAATAATAATAATAATAATTATAGCAATAGAGGGAGGAGATGGGGGAAGGAGAAAATAAGAGGTCGGAAGGGCGGGGGCTCCAAGAGTAAAGGGAAATGGGGTGAAAGAGCCAGAGGCTGGTGGAATTTCCCGGGTGGCGGGCCTCGTAGCCAGGCCTGACCCTTCAGGTGTGTCCCTGAGTGGGTGGCAGCAAAAATGAAGGGAACTTCTTAAAGCTTTTAGGAATTGGTCACCTCAGCCCCGATCATCCCTCTGGATGCCAGTGATACTGGTCCCACCCAAAGGGGATGCCAGGTCTCGGGAGAAAGACTCAAGGGCTGGGGGAAGAGTTCTGAGCTAGGAGTTAGGAGCCCTGAAGTCAAATCGCAGCGCTCACGGCAGCTGACTTGCTGAACCATGCGCTGTGTGACGTTGGCAGGTTCCGTAACCTTCCTGTCCCTTGGCTTCCTCTTAACTAAGACAGGAATGGTATTTGGTTCAACCTCACAGAGCAGTTCGGAGGTTTACATGGAAGGACCGTGGAAGCTGCCCCGCACACTCAGCGCTCTGGATGTGTTGGCTGTGATTGCAAGGCTCACTTTCTTCCTCGGGGAGCAGAGGGTGTTGGATTCGATGGCCTCCGGGACCCCTTTCGGCACAAGGGATGGGTGTCTCTTTGGAAAAGGCAGAGGAGAGAGATGAAGATTCAAGGATGGGAGACAGGAAATGAGAGGGGTGAGGAAGAGGGTGAGAAGCAAATAGCTGTGGAACGGGAGTCCGGAGACAGGAGAAGGAAGATGAGAGGGGTACGGGGGAGCAAGGACTGGAGGAGAAACAGGAAAGGGTGAAGAGCATGGGAGAACGTGGCGCATGTTTGGAGAACTGCATGGTCGATCCCTGACCCTCTCTCCAAATTCCATCTCCCCTGCACCCCCCTTCAGGAAAGACCACTGGGACAAGATGAGATCGAAGGTAATGCTCTCTCCCCCAAACGCCCCCACATCACCTCCCACCCGCTTGCCTGTCTCTGTCCCTTTGTGTATTTCAGTGGAAGTCCCATCACATAAAAACTTCACATTCCTCTCTTTCCGCTCAACTGTGGTTTTGTGGAACTCTTTTTCATGGCAGCGTAGGTACCTCCCAAAGTATTTAGAAGGGATGACCACCCCCAAGCATCTCAGAGACCCAGGAGTGACACATGAGTTTTAGAACAAATAAAAAATGTTTGGTTTTTCTTTTGATGGCTTTGAAGTTCCCCATAACTTCACCCAAGAGTTTGAAGGACTTCAGGGCTATTGTTTGGTGGCCTCAGGAATCCCTTGTCTTGTTAACACACTTCATAACCACTCCTTTTTGATATTTTGGTTTTTAAAAATGCACTCTCCTTTGAGGAATCTTTAGTCTGTGCCTCATTGATGGTTTCAAGGGATGCCACGTTTCCCCACTGACTGTTTCGAGGTCCTCCATGGTTGTCCCCTCTTAACTTTCAGAGCTCCGGGAGGCATTCCTGGAGTTCGACAAGGACCGAGACGGGTTCATCTCTCGTAAGGACCTGGGAAATCTCATGAGGACAATGGGTTACATGCCCACAGAGATGGAATTGACTGAATTGGGCCAGCAGATCCGCATGAACTGTGAGGCCGGGGAGTGGGAGGAATTACTGTGTCAGGGGAGGGCGGAGGGCGGAACTGGTGAGGGTAGAGAGGTTGAGAGCAGAGTTAGAGACAGGGAGGAAGGAAAGAGGGACTAGAGGTCTGGAAGGAAACAGATCCGAGTGTAGCAGGGAGGCAGCATTTGAAGTGGTCAAAATGATGACGCTTAGAGATAGATTGTGTTCAAGTCCCAGTTCTATCGTTTACTAAATGTGGTCATTTTGTAAAAGTGGAGTTAACCTCCACTCTGGAGTCTCAGTTTCCCCATCTGTTGCATGACGATGATATCACTCCTTACTTTATGGGATTGTGGGAAGGAAGGGATAAAGGCGTCAATGCAGGTCAAGGCTTAGCCTCCAGTAAATGTTTGTTATATGTTGGTTGTGACCCCTCAGATTCTTCAGGAGCACAAGACCGGAACTGCTGTTGATGTAGGAAACAAACTTGGACTTGGAGCTAACGTTGACGAATAGCGTTGCAAAAAGGATAGGCTTTCTTAGATGGGAACCAGAGCCAATTTGGAGATGAAATTTGTGATAAAATTGCTATTGGGTTTGCTTCTGGATATGTTACTGAGCGAACAAGGTTGAATTCAAGGATGTGATAGTATTTGTACCTGGAAGAGACTTTGGTGCTCATTTAATCCATACCCAACCTTCTACAGAGCTACAGACGAGGGAATGTAGTGTGAACCAGTGATGAGATTTATTCCAGGTTACATGGACAGCTAGTTACTGCCACCCTGCCAGTCTGTCCACCTGTTCAGATTAGAGGGACAAGGGGGCTTGCGTTGGCTGAGAGACAAAGCGCTCAGGAGGCAGAGAGATTGGAGAAGATCTATGTCTTGAACACACTTGAAGGGGAAACTGAGGGAATGGAGGGTTGGGACATACAGAATCTCACTAGACCTGCTTCCCCTTCCTCAGTGGGGGGCCGTGTGGACTTTGAGGACTTTGTGGAGCTGAAGGCCCCCAAACTGCTTGCGGAAACAGCTGGGATGATCGGTGTCCAGGAGATGCGAGATGCCTTCAAGGAAGTGAGTGGAGAGTTTCACAATGTTGGCGGTGGCTGCAGGGGACCCACAGGTCAATGATTAGTCATTGGTCATGGACAGAACCCCCCGCCCCCGCCCCAGACCGATTTTTTTTCCTAGCCCTGGTGGGATTTATAGGAAAGGAAAATAGCACATTCCGGGCTCTTCCAGTGGATGGGGTCCTCTACCTATTTTATCAAATGTAACCCTTACAAAAAGAATAGGAGTTAGTATTCATTGACTGAAATCTTATATAAGAGGAAACTGAGGCTCGTGGGGATTAGAAATCTTCTCCAAGATTCTGCAGCCTCCAAAGCACGGTAGGATCTCTCATCTAGCCTGTCATAAGAAGGGGGAATGCAAAAATGTAAGATCCCAGGTGGGAACTCAAAGATCATGTGGTTTAACACACCTGTTGAGGAGAGGCTTTAAAAACGAGATCCTGGGAGTGTGGGGAGGGAAAAGAACTGACCCAGTAATTCCTCCCACTGAATCGCTGAAGTTCACTTCTATCCCCTGATAAAATGCTTTCCTCACTCAGAGAGCTTGCAACTATTTGAGGCAAAAACAAAGAATAGGATAGAGTTTGGAAGGAAAGGCTTTGGAGCCAGGCACACATGGGTCTGAAACCCAAGACATTACCTGCTGCTGGCTGTGGGATCAGCTCTCCCAGCTTCGCAGAAAGACCTACAGCTGCAGCGTCCGACAGAACTTCCTGCGGTCGTAGCAACACTCTGTCCTAGCTGCTAGCCGCTGGCCCCCAAGCCTTTGAAATATGGCCAGTGTGACCGAGGAACTGAACTTCTAATTTTATCTAATTTTGATCAATTTCACTTACGTTATTTATTTAATTCCCATGTAGATTCAGTTGACTATAAATTCAGTTCGTTTCGATTTTAAAAGAATCCTTGATTTCATTACTGGCAAACATTCAGCTGATTTGAACAGCTTGGGTATGGGAATATTATTTGGGTATATATTTTGTGAAATCTAAATATAGATCAGGTATTTCTGATAACTTTTAGTGTCTGAATTGGGAACTGCTGTAAGCGCCCGGCACGCCCTGGGTGCAGCTTAGGCCCGTGAGCTGGGGTGACCCCGTGTGCCAAGGCGGGTGACTGAGCGTGCTGAGTGCTGCCTGCGTAAGCACTGAGTGGGCCAGCATGCTAAGTCTTAGGAAGTCCAGGCTGTGTGTAGGGGACTCATTCATCATTTTAACATTGATTGCATGCTGAAATGGTAATATTTTTGAAATATTGGGTTAAATAAAATCAGTGATTAAAAACTAATTTCACTTGGTTCTTGTAATGCTTTTAAAAATACTGTTTAAAACCCTCCCCCAGGGAACATAATAAACATATTATTGATCTGAGAGAGAAAAGGGAAGGAGAGAGAAAAACATCGATCGGTTGCCTCCCATCTGTGCCCCAACTGGGGATGGAACCCACCGCATTTGGTGTATGGGACGATGCTCCAACTGACTGAGCCACCAGGCCAGGGCATATTATTATTATTATTTTTATTTTTAAAGATGTTATTTATTTATTTTTAGAGAGAGGGGAAGGGAGGGAGAAAGAGTGGGAGAGAAACATCAATGTTTAGTTGCCTCTCATGAGCCCCCGAATGGGGACCTGGCCTGCAATCCAAGCATGTGCTCTGATTGGGAATCGAACTGGCAACCCTTTGGTTAGCAGGCCAGCACTCAATCCACTGAGCCACACCAGCCAGGTCTATTATTATTATTATTAGTCATCATTGTCATTGCTAATACAGTTGACCCATGAACAACATGAGTTTGATCTGTGCAGGTCCACTTACACGTGACTTTTCCTCAATAAATATATTTGGAAATTTTTTTGGAGATTTGCGACAACTTGAAAAAACTCACAGGTGAACCTTATGATTTTCTGTATACCATTTTCTTCCACTTTGGTATAAATACCATTTATACCACTTTGGTGTAAGAATACAGTGTATAACACATACAACATAGAAAATATGTTTAGGGACTGGTGTATGCTATCAGTAGGCTATTTTAGTTGAGTTTGGGGGAGTCAAAAGTTATAGGCGGATTTTTGACTGTGCAGGGGGTTGGCGCCCCTCACCTCCAAGTCGCTCAAGGGTCAACTGCGCTGTCCCCTCTGGCCCTATTCAGTTTGACGCCAACGGCGACGGGGAGATCACCCTGGGAGAGCTACAGCAGGCGATGCAAAGGCTTCTGGGGGAGCAGCTCACCGCCCGGGAGATCTCCGAGGTTGTCCAGGAAGCCGATGTGAATGGGGATGGCACCGTCAACTTCGAAGGTGACGCCTCCCACTCCAGCACCCCGTGGGATTTCCCAAGTCAGCTGTTCCTTCTTCCTCTTCCCCCAGTTCTAGGTTGGGTGGGGGGCGGGGGACAGCTGGGTTGGGAAGGGTTTTTATTGCAGCCCTTTCTGCCCACGTCAGGTCAAACACCTCGGAGTCTCTCCCCACCTTGTTCCTGCCCCCGGCTGCTCCTGGGAGCGCCGTGTCCAGGAGCCCATTCCTATGCGTGCTCGGGCCGAACTCACATCCACCTCCCCCAGCCCGTCCTGGTTCACTGGGCACCTTTGTCATCGGAACAAAGTGTCCCATCAGAAGGAGAGCGGACTGGTTGGCAGCTGAGACCCAGCGGTCAGATTCATGGGGTTCAAATTCAGTTTCTTACTAATTCCGTGGCCTTCACCTAGTCGCTTATTCACTGTAAGTGTCGGTTTTCACATCTGCAAAATGGCGTAATGATGATACCTTCCTCCCAAAGTTTTGGAGGAGACTGAAAGGAATCGCACACCAAGCGCCCCTCCCTGTCCTCGTTCCTGTCACCGCTCTGTCCGGAGCACCCTTGTCTCCCCCTGCAGCCTAACTCTTAGTTGTGCTCCTGGAAGGTGTCCCCACTTTGCTGGCTGGGCTTGGGGGCCCCATAACGCCCATGCACACCTCAGCCGTAATCCGGGCCCACGGCGTCACGAGCGCTTACGTTAGTTCACAGCTGCTTCCTTCTGGGCCACCGACTCCATCTTTCATCGCCAGGTCTCCAGTCCCCAGCACAGGGCTCAGCACGTGTAGACTGAGTAACTGAATAAACGAAAAAGATTGGGAGTCCCGGGAGGTTGGGAGCAGAGATCATTTTTGTGGGAGACAAAGAGGGCGCGTCAAGCTCTCCTTCGGACATTCTCTGATTCAAAAACCTCGGCCTCTGGCAGCTGCCTGAAGACCCAAGGCCAGGATTCTTAGTCTGCTGTTCAAGTGCCTCTGAGACCCGCCCCCTCCCTTCGCCACACATTTTGCGACCAGCCTCTGAGCTTTCACGCTCTGGGGCACGCTGGGCACCGGCTCCGCTCTCCCCGGGGTTCCTTCCACACTCCACGCTTCCCGGGCCCTCAGCACCTTTCCAGCTCTTCTCTGTCCCTCGCGGACCCAGGCCGGCGCGCCCCTTCGCCCTTAGCCCGTGCGGAAGCCCCAGCTCGAGCGCTGCGGGTCTTTGTCTTCCTCCCCCAAGGGCGCCGTCGCTGCAGGCCTGGATGTGTCCCCCTGGGCTGTGAAATGCTGGGGGCGGGCCGTGCGGGGTCCTCCCTGAACCCTCTGCTGGGTAACTCCCAATGCTTTGTCAGCACTTCGTGCACAGCGGCGACGCGCCAGCGTTGCTGGCTGCTGCCGGGTCTGGCCAGGCCCAGGGGAGCGGCCGGCATCAGGGAAGCGCCGGATGAAGCAAGACATGGGTCTTAGAGGAGACAGAGCCTCAGGTCCACCACAGGCAACGGAAGGACAGACTGACCTCAAGACCTGGGTGGGACCAGTAACTTCATCTGACGCTGGGTCACGGCAAAGGCAGGACGACCTGCGTTTGTTCCAGGGCTCACCTTTCATCGCCCACAGGACCTCAGGCACGTGGGCCAACCTCATTGGCCTTGGTTTGCTCATCTGTAAAGTGGCACTTACCTCTCTAGGATGGGTTGAAAAGATGAAATAAGACACTCATATTCACTATTTATTTAGCACTTCCTGTGACTTACAGGCTTTATATTGTTCAGCCATCTTAAAAACCACATAAAGTAACTCCTCTTCTCGTTTTATTGATGAAGAAATCAAGGGCTGGAGAGGCCAAGAAATTTACCAGAGGTCACCTGTGGTTCCCAACACATAGGAAGGGCTCAAAAAGGTAATGTCGCTGCTCTTACGAATAGACACCTCACCAGGGACTTTTCTTTGCAGAGTTTGTGAAGATGATGTCTCGCTGAGGGGGCTCTGGAGACCCCAGCCATCCCCCGCCTGGTGGACAGATTGTTTGTGGAGGACCGAAGCCCCTTAAAACAGGGGCGGGCGGGGACTGGAGTGAGGTTAGACTGAAGGTGAGAGCTTTGCCTGGACTGGGGCGGGGGGTGGGGGTTACACCTCTAGAACTGGATTAAGGAGGAAGAATCTACATAGGGGAATGCGAATGGGACTAGGGCCCAGATGCCACTCCAAAAATTCCGAAGATTAAAGACTTCTTTTGACTCCATATCATCCTAAATTCCTACGGCTGGCCCATCTCTTCCCCAGCTTCCTCTTGTGTTAAAATAGCCTGTTCCATTAGATTCAAGAAGTTCATCACAGCTCCGGCCCGGTGGCTTGGTTGTATGGAGCATCGTCTCCTGTACACTGAAGGGTTGCAGGTTCGATATCAGTCAGGGCACATATCTAGGTTGTGGGTTCCATCCCCGGTCGGGGTGCACACGAGGAGGCAACCCACACTGGTGTTTCTCTCTCTCTCTCTCTCTCTCTCTCCCCCTTCCTCTCTATCTAAAATCAATACACACATCCTTGGGTAGGATTTAAAAAAAAAGTTGAGCCCTAGTTGGTGTGGCTCGGTAGACTGAGCGCTGGACTGCAAAGCAAAGAGTCGCCGGTTCGATTCCCAGTCAGGGCACATGCCTGGGTTTGGGGCCAGGTCCCCAGTAGGGGCTGCACAAGAGGCAACCACACATTGATGTTTCTCTCCCTCTCTCCCTTCCTTCCCCTCTCTCTAAAAATAAATAAATAAATAAATCTTAAAAAAAGTTGAATGCGTAGCTCTACCTCCCACCTTCCTACTCCAACCACTTTAAAGCTCTCCCTCCAGTTCTTTCTCTGGGCAAGAGGGAGGCGTTCCAATCTGAGGGGGTGGGGGTGAGCCACAGGGTACTCAGTAAAACTGGGCTTGGAAACGGTTCATTGAACAGGCATCTGAGCGAGCTTACCCCCCGCCCCCTGCCCCTTGATTTCCTGGAGGTTCAGTCTGCTTTTCCCCTCTGGCTTTCTACCTCCTTCTCCTTGTGTAAGTACTCAGGCCACTGAATTAAATCACAGATCTGGATTATCAAGGTTTAGGACAGGTTGATCCCCAGGGAATTAATCCCCTGCAAAATGTCATCCTGCAAAGAGAGAGAGGGGACGGGAGCCTCCAAATCCTCAGCTCAGCCAGGTGCCCCAAAGCCCTTGGCAGAAGCCACTGTCCCTGCGCTGTTGGCCTGCGTCATGGTGGTGGTTGGGGAGAGAGATTCGCTGGGAGTCGACTCCATCCCCGACGTCTGACACAGGTCCACGCTGCGCAACTGGAAGGCATCTTCCTCCTCCCCTCTGCCTGGGAGCAGGCCGCCTCAATAACGCCAAGGTCCTCAAAATAAAGTGTTCGGTTCATGCCTTCCTCTGAGGATTTCTCACTCTTAAAATCCGGGAGATAGATGTCTAGAATGGCTCATTGGGGTCACTGGCCTCATTTTGCAGAATTAAAGCTTCAATTTATAAAAGGTGAAGTCAGCCGTGGCTGGTGTGGCTCAGTGCATTGAGTGCTGACCTGTGAACCAAAGCATCGCCGGTTGGATTCCCAGTCAGGGCACAGGCCTGGTTTGTGGGCCAGGTCCCCAGTTGGGGGCACACGAGGAAAAGCAACCACACATCATTGTTTCCCTCCTTCTCTTTCTCCCTCCCTTCCCCCTCTCTAAAAATAAATCAATAAAAATCTTTAAAAAAATTAAATATGTGGACTCAGAACAGGGTCCTAACCCCTTACTGTGTCCTCTTCTTATTGGCATTATTCCGCATCTTGAGACCATTTCATTTTAAGCTTCCTGCCCTCCATTCCCTTTTCCTCCCCTCCCCCACTTCCTCCCTTCATTCACTCAACAGCAATGTAGGAAGTGCTTGCTCTGGGCAAGGCTCTCCCCAGCTATAATGGCGAATGAAAGAGACCCAAACCCGGGCCCCCTGGGCTTCCATTGTAATGGGAGGAGACAGCCAGCAAACAAAAGTGAATGAGTAAATAGAATCCCGTTTCGCACGTTAGAAGGTGGTCAGAAATGGTAGGGGGGGATGGAACAGAGAAGGGGCTTGAGGGGCTCTGGGCGTGCTGAGGAGTCGGTTCCACAGGGACACCAGGGGCGTGTCTGGGGAGCGGTTAGGACACCGTGCAGGGGGAGCGCAGGGGCCGGAGGCAGGGGTGCGCCCGGAGCGGCCAGGAGACCAGAGTGACTGGAGACGACTGTACGCCCGGCACTGTTCCCGGTGAGGGAAACAGAGTGACGATAACGTGCATGACCTTGAGGAGCCACACCAGTTAGGGCTCTTGGGCAATGAGGGAAATATCCTAGATCCCTGCCGTGCGCCCTGGCAGCCGCTGGCCACAGGTGGCTGGCTATTAAGCGTTAAGTGTGATGAGTGAGGCTGAGAAGCTGGATTTTATTTTCCTTTTATTATATCAAGATAATAACATTTCACTCATAAGTTATCAGTCTTGTGAGCTAGTTGAGGTAAATAGCCCTGTGTGGCTCATGGTTGTTGTGCGGGGCAGGGCATGTCTGTGCTGTAAGCCTGGGGCTCTTAGGACTGGAGACAGCCCAGCTTACAGTCCCGGCTGAGGGGGGAAGAGAAAAGTAATTACTCCAGAGAAGCCCAGCCCTGGGTGGTGTGGCTCAGTGGATTGAGTGCTGGCCTGCGAGCCAAAGGGTCGCTGGTTCGATTCTCAGTCAGGGCGCATGCTTGGGTTTCGGTCCAGGTCCCCAGTAGGGGGCACATGAGAGGCAACCACACATTGATGTTTCTCTCCCTCTCTTTCTCCCTCCCTTCCTCTGTTTAAACATAAATAAATAAAATAAAATTAAAAAAAGAGAGAGAGATAGAGAAGCCCAAATGAGGAAGATACTATGCAGAGGATAATATGGAGCGGTGAGATACCAAGAGATTTGGGGGAAGAGCCAAGGGTGGTTGAATCAGCTGGAGTGAAAGGAGGGGGGAGCAGGAGGAGCAGGGGGGAGGAAGAAAAAGAGGAGGGAGTGGAGGAAAAGGGAGAGAAGGGAGAAAGAAAAGGAGGAGGGGAGGGAGACAACATGAGGTCGCATCTGGGCTCACAGGGAAACAGATTCTGTGATCAATTATTCATGTCTGCCATGGGCACGGGGAAGAAATCACTGAGGCAGCCTTGCAGACAATTTTCTGCCCTTCGTGCCCTCAGTTATTCCTGGTTAATTCCATAAGTACCTACAAATGCTCCGCCCGAGTCTGCGGTTTTCCAGGACGAGAGAGCAGGCTGAGCTTCCTGCCCAGGGCCCCTGGGCGCCGATCCGGTCTCCCCACCGCGAGTCCCACCAGCGCGGTCACCAGCATTTCTGTCCCCACACACTCGGACCCCTCACCTTCTCTCTCATTCCAGAAATTGGGAAGGGCCGCCCGAGGTAATTTGTGGCTCCTTTATTGGTGGCTAGGTCACATGTTCCCTCTGTTTCACAAGTGACCAGTGGTTGAGAGAGATAGTAAACAGGGTCTTTCTAAAGGGGACCATCTAAGCTTGAAAGAGGCCGTTAAAAAGACAAAGCTGGTTCCAGGCTCCACGGGTCAGCCTTCCTCTGAAGGCCTTTCTCATCTCCCTGAAAATAAAATCAAAAACCAGCCATTAGGCAATAGGGATGCGTTGACTCTGAATGTAACATAAATCATATTGAGTTTTGAGGCTCCGTCAGAAGCAGCTGAGCCTCGGGGAGGATTGAGACCCCCTCACCAACCTGGCTCACGGGGGCAAGTCAATCAGTGGACAAGGAGCGCCTCCGCCTCACCTCGATTGTCAGAGGTTTGGCAGGAGAGGGACCCTCAAGAAGACAGTCCCGCTCTGACAAATGGAAGTTAGAGGATGGGTCACTAAAAATGCTCTTAGCCCTCGACACAGACTGGTGACCACTGGGGTGTTTTTGAATGTCCACCCTGTTCAGATGGTACCCGGAGTTCCAAACCCATATCTTTGCCTCTCCTCCATTCAGGGAAGGGAGTTTTCACAGCCAAGCCAAAACTGAGGAAGGGCCACTAATTGCGGCGCCATCCCTAAGTCACGTGCTTTTTGGAAGAAGGGGAGATATTGCCAGAGCTCTCCACCCTGCAAGGAAAGGCAGCGGAGTTTTGTGCACAATCTGATGAAAGGCCTCTCTTTCTGTTTAAATGCCAGAATTACAGAGCGATTAGGTCAGCCCATTGCCGCAGGAGGTCTGGAGAGAATATCTACTGGGCTTTAGAATGCGGAAGCCAGAAGGAAAGACGAGAAACTAGGAAGAAGGATAGAGCTGGTCCCGCAGAGGTAGCTAACTTCTGTGCTGAAGTGGGGTGGGCCCCCATGACGAGGAGGAGAGGGGAACCCCCTTTTCCTGGGTTAGCTCCTCAGGGGTGGGCGTCATGGGCCAACCTCACGATGCCATGGCCTCTGGGGACCAGAGAAGTCGCCATTCTCCCCCTTCATGGTTGTCTTTCCATCTCACTCTCTAAGCTCCCAGCTCCCAGACCTAAAACTCCGAAGGACACCCTTCTGGCTCTGAAAAGGTTTGCCCACCTCCTTCCCTGCTTTCCCAGTTTCTTCCAGCCTTCTAATTTCGGAAGTTGTCCCCACCTCGGTTCCCCAGCCCCACCCCCCAAGCACTCCACCTTATCTCTGGGAAGGGGAGCTCACCTTGCTGGGGACCTCAGCAAACCAGATACTGGGAGGAACAGATCCTGCCTTCACACCAACAACGCCTCCAGGCGAGCTCCCTGACCCCGCTTCACACCAGCCTCGCCCTTCCATTCAGCCCCTGCCCCCGCCTGGTGCGCCAGGAAGCACCCCGGCGGGCACCTGTCTTACCTCCGCATCAGCAATACACCCAGGTGTGGTCCTGGTCATAGTTGTAAGAGGTTGCGCACCACAGAAGGTTCCCCTTGGATCCTTTGCTAGTGCAGTTAAAATAATTCTTGTTTTTATAGTTGAATGGGAAGTGGCAGGGAGAGCCAGGAACCAAGGAGGAAACTCCTGCGAGGAAGCAGATGAGACGGCGGTTATCCCGGGCCTTTGCGCTGCAGCGAAGCTTTGGGAACAGGGCCGTGCCGACCGGGCACTGTCCCGGGGATCCTGTTGGAGGGGCGGAATGCTGACCTGAACCTACACGTCAGAGGCCTTTTCTTCTTTCCTAAGCAGTTTGGGTTTAGGACGGGAAGGGTACTGGGGACGAAGGGCAGGCTGAAAGCGCAAGGGGTCCTGGGAGTGGCAGGGGGCGAGGAGGGGAAGAACCAGGGAGCAGCCGAGTGGGGGCACGCAGAGGACGCATTGCGGTGGGTCCTCTTTATTCACAGATCCCCGATTGGCGCATTTGCCGACTCCCTACAATTTATTAGGGACCCCAAAATCGATCCTCACAGTAGGTCGTCTGTGGACACACAGAGCGGTGAGCCCCCTACGCCCGTGTTCCTGGCTGAAGCCCACAAGGCAGCCCTCGGCCCCCTTGTCTCGCTCTCATACTGTGAACAGGGTCCTGGTTGCACCCTCTGTGGTCCTTCCTTTTTTGCAGTTTTGTGGTTTTTGATGGTGATTTCACTGTTTGTTTTTTTTTAAGGGATTTAAAAAAAAAAGATTTTATTTATTTATTTTTAGAGAGAAGGGAAAGGAAGGAGAAAGAGAGGAAGAGAAACATCAATGAATGGTTGCCTCTCACGTGCCCCCTACTGGGGACCTGGCCCGCAACCCAGGCATGTGCCCTGACTGGGAATCAAACCAGCAACCATTTGGTTCGCAGGCCGGCACTCAGTCCGCTGAGGCACACCAGCCAGGGCCTATTTCACTGTTTTAAATGACCCCGCGCAGGGAGCTGGAGTGCTGGCTAGGGGTCCCAGGCACAAGGGGGCTGTGCTGTGCCTCCTTGAGAAAATACACATGTCAATGAATGAGCTTCCTTCAGGCAGGAATTATAGGAGGTTAACAATAATGTTCCCTGAAATAGGGCTGCCCTGGCCGGGTGGCGTAGGTGGGTGGAGCACCGTCTTGTACACCAGCTAGATTGTGGGTTTGATCCGCGTCAGGCACAAACAGGAAGCACCCGATCGATGTTTCTCTTTCTCTCCCTTCCTCTCTCTAAAATCAGTAAACATATCACATTTCCTGGGGTGAGGATTGTTTTAAAAAATTAAGAACTTGAAATAGGGCCGGAAGATTGCCACGCAACCTTTTAATGCCACCCTAGACCATTGTCTGTTGACGAGGTTAAGGACCTAAGGGTCGCCTGATACTCTAACTCGGTGTCAGCAAACTCTCTGTAAAGGGCCAGACGGTTGATACTTTCAGCTCTTTGCATAGTGCAGTGTCTGCCGCAATTTTTCACTCCACTATCAACCCGCCCTGAATAAACGGACGTGGCTGTGTTCTAATGAAATTATATAGGAACCTTGAACTCCGAATTTCATGTCATTCTCACTTGTCACAGAATATGGTTCCTTTTTTTCAACCATATAAAAAATGTAAAAACTATTGTTAGATTGCAGGCTATACAAAAACAAGCGTGGGTCCTGATTTGGCCCATAGGCGGGTAGAGTTTGCAGACGGCTGCTCTTAGGAAGTAGGACTTTGTCTGACTTCCTGTCTGCTATGGATTGCAGGCCCCAACTCTAACCTGTAGAAGATTAATATCCTGCGAATGATTTTTGTTCAGTACAGAGGCCGGTCATTTCTGTCTGGTAGAAAAGATAGCCCCAAAGCTTTGATAGCCCTTGAGATTTTAACAGAGTTTATATCTAATTTAGCAAACTTGCCCCTGCTCAGCATTCTTTTCTTCACTGGCTGGATGTATTTCTCCTAGCATCCTTTGAACTGGCTTTCCTACCCTTCTCGTTTTCTTATTAATAGACCTTTTTTTTTTTTTTTTAAAGAAACCTGCAAAGGACTCAAGGACATGGACAATGGTGTGGAGATTGCTGAGGGGAGGGGAGTGTAAGGGGACTAAATGGCAATGGAAAAAAATACAATAAAGAATAAATTTAAAAACAAAATAAAATAAAACCTTAAAAATAGCCCTGGCTGGTGTGGCTCAATGGATTGAGCGCCGGCCTGCAAAGCAAAGCGTCGCCGGTTCGATTCCCAGTCAGGGCACAGGCCTGGGTTGCGGGCCAGGTCCCCAGTAGGGGGCGTGCAAGAGGCCACCACACATTGATGTTTCCCTCTTTCTCCCTCCCTTCCCCTACCTCTAAAAATAAATTCTTTTTTTTTTAAAAAAAAGTATCGTTTATGTAACCGGTTCATCAAACCACTGAGGGCAGGACTCTGCCTTATCCGGCCCCAGAGCCAGGCACCGTGTCTGGCTCACAGCAGCCTGGAGTGGGCGTTGCTTGAGTGAACGCGTGAAGGGGTCCGCCCACAGCCGCCCAGTCCCTGCCCCCGATTACGGGTGTCGGCGCATAGACTCCACTTCCCGTCCTCGTCCATGTTCTCCGTGGTTGGGCACCAGAGCTTGTTGTCCTCCTCGACGCACTCCGAGATCAGATGATTTCTGTAGATGGAGGGGAAGATGCAGGGCTTGCTGAAGGAGTTTCCCCCGTACTCTGCAAACGACCGCGCAAAGGTTAGCGAGCAAGAACAGGCCGAGACAGCGGCTTCCCGTCATCGCCCGGTCTGTGCTTTGTCTCCTGAGAGGAAGGATAATACTGAACACTTGCGAACAACTTCTTGCGCTGTTATTACTTCCACTTTACAGATGAGCGAGAACCCCAACTATTGACATCCGCTCAGTTTACTGTCTATAGTAACAAGGCTTTACTGTCCCCCTGGGCTTCATCAACACCACTCTGTTATTCTAGGGAATTCTTGCCTGGAAAGATAAAAACTGCAAATAACTTTATTGTTCATCTCAGGAACTTCCTGAAAAAACCATTTAAACAAACATCAGACCTTTCAACTTTTCTATAAATTGTATCAAAAGACGATGTACTCTTCAAATGTAATTGAAAAATAAAATTTAAAAACTGTTTTAGCCCTGGCCGGGTGGCTCAGTTGGTTGGAGCATCATCCCTGCCCCAAAGGGCTGCAGGTTCGAATCCCAGTCAAGGCACATACGATATACCTAGGTTGCAAGTTTGATCCCTGGTCAGGGTGCATACGTGAGGCAACCAGCTGATGTTTCTCGTTCACCTTGATGTTTCTTTCTCTCTCTCTCCCTTCTCTCTCTAAAATTAATAAAAACATGTCCTCGGGTGAGGATAAAAAAAAATTTAAGACTATTTACTCTTCAAGACCCTTTGAATCCTTCTCAGAAACTTCACCTTGTCTTGACCACCAGCTCTAAACTGTTATGTTATTATCCACACCCAATCCTCATCATGGCCCCACATAGAAAGACCCCCAAACCTCATTCACATCCCAACTTTCTCCCCTCTCTCCCAGATGCTATTAACACATCGTAATTGTGGTTCTCTCCCTGACTTGGGTTGCCTAACTATAAGGCTGCTTTGGTGGGGCTCCAGGAGAAGCCAGCAGTAGACTAAGGGGCTGGGGTTTAGAAGCTGAACCGGCAAGTAATTAAGAGCAAGATTTCTGAACCTTAGACTCCCTGAGATCAAATCGCCGTTCTGCCACTTAACAACTGAATATCTTTGAGCCTCAGCTTCTGCATTTCTAAAATGGGGCCACTGATGAGATTTTTTTTTTTTTTAACAAAAAATCTCATAGGAGTTGTTGTAGCAGATAAATGAGTTATTGCATGTGAAGTGCTTAGAACAGTGCCTGGCACATAGGTAATGTTTACTAAAAGTTCACTCTACCATGACCGTGATAACATTTACCATCTAATGTGCCCAAGATCACACAGCTGGTAATGGCAACAGCAGGAGCCTCACTTAGGTTTAACTTGGAAGCCCACTTTTTGACTACTGGCTCAAATGATAGGCAAGGAGGAACACTCTGATTTCTTATTTCTTAGTCACGTGGTATGTCCGAAACACCACGAAAGGCCTTGTATGGAAGTGAACTCTGATATTTACAAAAACCTTTGAAGTGAGCCTTCGTGTCCTGATTTTGCAGGGAACAAACTAAGGGATGAAAGGACTTCCCCAATGTCATGGAAGAGGCCAGAGCTAAAATGTACCTTCCCTTCCAGGACCTGTTGTTGGGCATCTGCTTGGTGATTTAAGCAAATTCTAATTTCTCACCCCATCCAATTAGCATCTGTGGGGCTTGGGTCACATGAAGGATTAATGGAAGTTTGGATATTAAAATTAGAGTTAAGTTGCAGTGAGATTCGAGGTGGATTTAAAACTGTACACAGTTGTACAATATTATCATAAAATTGATATTTCAAGCCATTTATTTGGGTTAGGATTTCAAAATACCTAAAATGATGGATGGGTGGATAGAATTTAGAGTCAAGAGCAGAAATGGAGACAGAGTTGGACTTGGGTGAAAAATTAGGTGAAGCCCTGGCCGGCGTGGCTCAGTAGACTGAGCCTCCGCCTGAGAACCAAAGGTCACCGGTTTGATTCCTGGTCAGGGCACGTGCCTCGGTTGCAGTCCGGTTCCCCGCTGGGGGCGTGCAAGAGGCGACCCACTGATTTTTCTCTCACAAATTAATGTTTCTCTCCCTCTTTCTCCCTCTCTTCCCTCCTCTCTAAAAATAAATAAATAAAATCTTTTTTAAAAAAGAAAGAAAAATTAGGTTGAGAGATAGCACAGAGTTACGGTGGGATTTAAGGATAAAACTGGTTTAGCGTTAAGGACACAGGGTAGATGACTAGGGCTAGGATAAAGTTAGGTTTTATATAAGATTAGGACTTTTTGAGTGCTAAGGGGAGAGCAAAATTAGGATTTTATACAGGAATAACTGTGCTCAAGTATCTTACCTCGCATGCATTTTCATTTCTCCAGAGGGAACATAGTGAGAAAAATGTGGTCCTTGGATCCTTAAGGCCTTGAAGTCAAATTCTAACACTGACGTCACCTAGGAGTGTGACTTAATTTTACTGGGACCACGTACTGACTAGGGGCAAAGAGCATCTCATAGAGCATCCCCAGGAAGGCGCAATGGGACCGTGTGCGCAGAGCTGCTGGCCCGCAGTCTAACACAGAGCGGGCACTAGAAGGAATGGAGGTCATCATTAAGTTCAGAGGAGGGGTAGAATTAAGGTTAGATGTTCAACCGCATTGAAATGCAGGCAGGTTTGGGCACCAGGGGACCCTGGTTATTGTCCATCTAGAAATAGAACTACTGGAAAACCATGATCACGACTACTGCCCCTGAGTTTGGTTCGCAGGACAACTGGTTTTTCATGCTGGCATTGGGTACACAGGAGAATGTGGCCTCAAGGCATTCTTGTTCCCTGTGGCTGTCACCGTGTATGCTCTGAGAAGACCCTTGGTCCCTAGAAGTATTTCCCCTGAGGCTCTGCTCCCCACCTTGCCCCCACGCCCCCCTGAGGATCGCTGCTGGCCACCCACCTGCCCGCCACGCACCCCATCCTGGCTCCAAGACCTTACCGGTGACTTCACAGTATTTCCACTGCTGCTTCTCATCAAAGCTGGAGGTCACTGAGCACCACAGCCTTCCAAAGAAGCTGCCTTCCGTGATGCAGCTGTGATAGGACTTCCCTCGGTAGATGAAGGGGAAGACGCATCGTGGGTAATCTGTGTGGAGAGCAGCCCATGAGCTGTTTGACGCTCTGGTCACTCACAGGACAGTCAATCAATTACCAATGAATCCATCAATCAACACCCAAGCACAGGATAAACATCAGGTTTTATACATGCATTTGATACATTTGTTTCATCAAGCATTACGTAAAGAAAGCCTACTTCATGTGCTTTCAAACCTTCTTCAATAGGCCCTGGCTGGTGTGGCTCAGCTGGTTGGAGTGTTGTCCCAAAAATGAAGGGTTGAGGGTTCAACTCCCAGGCAGGGCAAGTACCTGAGTTGCGGGTTTGATCCTCATCCAGGTGAATGGGAGACAACCAGTTGATGTTTCTCTCTTGCATAGATGGATCTCTCTCTCTCTCTCTCTCTCTCTCTCTCTCTCTCTCTTTCTCCCTCTCTGGAGGTGGTGAAATGGTGTCCTTTGGTGAGGGGGGAAAAACCCAAAACCTCCAATAGAGATCCCAATCTCAACTCATGGCCCCCTCTACTTGTTGAACACATTTAGTGTCTTCAAAAACTAATCTGTTATAATCACCAAAAGATTTGTAGGAATAAAGTCAAGAGAAAGGCATTTTAATGGTTTATGACCAACAGATGAAGTCAAGATGTTAATATACAAAGACACATTGAGATTACAGAAAAATGTCAGGTGTCAGCGAAGTCAAATATAGGAAATATCATTTTATAGGAAATATCATTTTAGGTGCTGGCGCCTTACTGCAGCTTCCACAAAACCGGGTGAGTTTCTCACCACAGATACAGTCCAACGAATACAGTTGCTGACATTATGTTTATGGTGAGTGGATTTGCTCACACACAGTGAGGGAATCTGGGTCATTTGGGAGTCACGGAGGGGCTGTCATAGGGGAAAGGGCGACAGAAGGAGCAGGTGACATTTGAGAAGAGGGCCAGCCATGCAAAAACCTGGGGGAGAGACTTCCAGGCAGAGGGAATAAAAGTGCAAAGAGTTCAAAGATGACAAGGAGTTCAGAATATTCCAGAAGCATGTCAACCGCTGGAGCTGGAGCTCAGCAGGCAAGAACGGGAGCGGAAGAAGATGAGGACAGCGAAGGGCAAGGTCATGGAAAGCAAACCAGGGTGAGGGGTTTTCTTTCTGCCTTTTCCTCCCCTATTGAGCTGTCTGAGTTCTTGATATATTTTGGATACTAACCCCTTATCAGATGTATGATTTGAAAATATTTTTTCCCATTCCATACATTGTCATTTCATTTTGTTGGTGGTGTTCTTGGCTGCAGGGAAGCTTTTCAGTTTGATGTAACACCTCTTGCTGTTGTTGCCTTTGCTTTTGGAGTCCAATCGAAAACATCATTTCCAAGACCAATGTCTAGGAGCTTACCCTCTATATTTTCTTCTGGGAGTTTTATGACTTCAGGTCTTACATTCAAGTTTTTAATAACTTTGAATTGATTTTTGTGTATGGTGTGAGATGTGGGATCCAGTTTCTTATTTTTTTCTTTTTTCTTTTCTCCTTTTCTAATTTTTATTTTCACATGTGGCTGTCCAGCTCTCCCAACACCATTTATTGAGGAGCCTATTCTTTCCCCACTGTATCTTCTTGGCTCTTTTGCCATAAATTAGTTGACCATACCTGCATGGGTTTATTTCTGGGCTCCCTATTCTGTTCCATTGATTTGTATGTCTGTTTTTATGCCAGAACCATACTGTTTTGATTATTATAGCTTTGTAATATTGAAACTAGGAAGCGTGATGCCTCCAGCTTTGTTTTTCTTTCTCAAGACTGCGTTGGCTGTTGGGGGTAAGGGGATTCTCCTAAGTGTGAAGGTGAGGCATGAAGGGCGTGAGTAGGCAGGAGCACCAACTGCCTTCTAATTCCAAAAAGGTGACTTTGGCTGATGGGGACTAGATTGGAAGCGGGGCGAGGGATATTACGTGGGATCAGTTAGCAAAATTTTTAAAAGATTTTATTTATTTATTTAGAGAGAGGGAGGGAGGGAGAAAGAGGGAGAGAAACATTAATGTGTGGCTGCTTCTCCCGCGCCCGTTAATGGGGACCTGGCCCACAGCCGGCCTTTCGGTGTAGGAAACGACACTTCAAGCAACGGAGCCACACCGGCCAGGGCCAGAAAGCACTATTTACAACCCAATCATGTCATTAGCACCCATTGTTAACATTCGCTGTTTGGCTTTCCAGAGCATTTTTTTATGCACACATGCATTATGATAATTTCTCTGCAAAAATATGACCTTATGACACACATTCACACAGTCTCCTTTGTAACCCCTCAATTCCAGAAGCCTGTCGGTGGGACAGCGCGGTCCACTCACCTTCCACCGAGCACAGCTTCCACTGCCCGTCGTACACGGCTCTGGTTGCGCACCACGGCGAGAGGCTGCCGCTTCTGGTGCAAGAGAAGTAGACAGACCCTTTGTAGGTGAAGGGAAAGATGCACATAGCCTTGTCACCTGGAGAAGAGCGAAACAGGAGGGCGTTAGTCACGGCGCAGGAGCCAAGGATGAGTCTGTGCTCGGCCCTTGCAGTGGTCTGCGGGTGGCACTGTGCGGTCCTAGCATCCAGCTTCCTAAGGACCGACGCGTCATGTCCCGTTCATGTTGGCACCCAGAGTCTTAGGGAAGAGTTTCATAGACAGTGAAGGCAACCAAGCTATGTTGTTCCTCAGAGTGGCCCCCTCCAATGGCACACAGGATACATTTGATGGGTCACAAGGACACCTCAGGTTATGTAGGGACACACATTAAATCGTTTGAAACGCAGACTGAAAAGCAATTTCCTTTTCCAATCCTTCTGATTATACAAAAGAGAACTTCAGTGTAACGCTGGTCTTTCTCTATCCTGCCCCTGATGCTTAACAATCTCCCCTTTTAACAAAACAGAGGGCGGGGCTTGGGCTGAGGGCCTTATTCAGACAATAGTAACTAGTAGAATTTAATAACAGGATTTTGTTTTGGTAATGTTTTTATTTGCACTTCCTATTTATGGCAAGCAGTAGTGAGTTACAGAGCTGATGATAAATGTTCTTTTAAAATAAATGTATTAAAGTGAGGAAAAGCAAGCACATCTGCAGGGGCCGGTGCTAGAAGTATCGGGGGATCACTTTGCAAATTACATAAATGTCTAGTCACCATGCTAACCAATGAAACTACACCCGAAACTAACAAAAAAATATTGAATATCAACTGTACTCGGAAAAATAAAAAAAGTAAATTGAAAAATGACAGCAAGCACCTTTAAAGAAACATGTTGAATAAATAATAGTGCCGGTGGCACGCACGTGTGGCAAATACTTGGGGAGCACAACCCTTGACCTTCCTATGTTTCTGTAGGAAGACGGGGACGCTATCTTTTATATAATGTGTCCTCAGAACCTAAAACAGTCGCTTGCTCATAGTAGGTGCTTAAAAAATAACTGACAGAATAAAATAAGTTTGGGGAATTACCAGGTTTCCATCATGAAGGGCTCCGCGGAAGGGTCAATGTGCAAATGGCGACTGAGCTCGCAAGAGCGGCGCAGAGTATATTGGGTTCTCTTCTCTTTTTTTCTTTTCCTTTTCTTTCCTTTCCTTTCCTTTCCTTTTCTTTCCTTTTCTTTTCTTTTCTTTTCTTTTCTTTTCTTTTCTTTTCTTCCCTTCCTTCTCCCCTCCCTCCCTCTCTTCCTTCCTCTCTTTCTTTCTCTACCCAATAGCACCAAAGGCTAACGGTCCCCGAAACACACCTTAAGAAATTCAGGCCTAAAACTGGTCGCTGCCAGATGGGAGGGGGTAGGGTATCTGGGAGAAAAAGCAAAGAGAGGAAGAAGTACAAACTGGCATCTACAAAGCCGTCGCAGGGATGTAGAATGCAGCGTAGGCACACGGTCAGTGATACTATAATGGCTGTGGATGGGGTCAGGTGAGCCCTAGAATTATCAAGGGGATCCCTTCATAAATTCTGCAACTGTCTAACCACCATGCTGTACACCTGAAACTAATATAAAATGATACTGAAGGTCAGCTGTAATTAAAAAGTAAAAATTTTTTTAAGTGCTATTCTAGCCCAAATTCTTGATTTCCTGGAGAAGGAAATGGAGACCCACATGAGATAAGGAATCTTTTAAAGTTAATGAGTATTTTTTTTAAGATTTTATTTATTTATTTTTCAAGGAAGGGAAAGCTAGGGAGAAAGAGAGGGAGAGAAACGTCAACCGGTTGCCTCTCGCACCGGGGACCGAACCCACAACCCAAGCAGGTGTCCTGGCTGGAAACTGAACCCACGACCGGGACGATGCCCAACCAACTGAGCCACACCGGCCAGGACTGAGGCCTTTTTTTAAAAACCAGAACTCGGGTGAGAACTTGGACTTTTCCTCCACTGGTCCAGGATCACAGCTTCCCCCTGGCCTTCGTTCAGGCATCTCCTCCCTCCCCCGGCCCTCCCCATAAAACAATGGATTGCCATGAGTAAGATGCTCTGATAGGCTGTGTGTGCATATATGTGTGCACATGTGTCCACATGCCTGTGCGTGCGCATGTGTGCACGCATGTTTGCTCCCGTTACGAAGATGATGAGGCAAAGCTTCCGTGTGTTCTCCAAACCCAGCTTCCTTTCCTTGCTGGGCTCATAGCTAAGATCCATTCTTCAGCCTCTTTGTGGTTCCATGGGACCACGTGACTAAATTATGCCCCACAGAATAGGGGCAGAAATGGCAAAAAAATAACCGCCCCCATCCATCCTTCCTGCCCCCATCTTCCTCTGTCTGCCCGCCGGCTCCAGGGTAGCGGCGCTCGATGGCGCAGAAAGGACAATTGCGCTCCTCCCCAGGGGCCATTAGACAGTGGGGACACTTTGGGCTGTTACAACTGGGAGGGAGGATCGGTAGCTGTGGGGCTGGTATCTACCGGGCAGAGACCAGGGATGTCGCCGAACATCTTACCGGGCACACGCAGCAGCCCTCCAGAACACAGTCACCGGCCCCAAATGCCGAGGTTGAGAAATTCCAACGCAGAGGGCCCTGCAAGAACGCTGCGGCCCCAGCGGGTGGGGAAGCCGCAAAACAGAAGGATCCTATGTCTCCGAAGCTCAACAAGAGAATTTTCCCACCAGACGTCCACACTGAGTGTTAGAGGAGTCCAACCTGAACTCTATCTGGTCCGGCCACTGACACCCGGGGGCTGTTTGTTACAACAGCTGGTCTGTTACTCATATAGATGGGCAGGACACCGCCCCTGTCTTCAGCCTAGTAGTCGGCTCTTGCGCCGGGTCAGATTCTTTCCCTGACAATCTGGCAAAGACAATGACAGGGATAAGGGATGTTTTGGGAGGAAGCGGGAAAGGCAGACCTCCCTCTTCGAGCCTCACTGATACTATGAGGGTTCCTTAAGTAATACTGCATTTTTCCACCTCTGGGTCCCCTCTGGGTCTCGGATCTGTCTGGTCTTGGTGTTGCCACATTTAAACTAGTTACGATTTGGAAAGTGCTTCGCAGAGCAGCTGGGGCGTGGCTGCTCAACAAATGTCAGCTCTCACTGCCATTGCCATCGCCATCGATGATGTTCCTCAGTCGTGGGCATCACTAAGTCTGCGGGAAGCTGGTGGGGGTGGGGGCGGGCAGGCAGGGCCCATTGTGCACAGAATCAAGGTTGTCCTTGGGAGTTGTTAGTAAGAATCCACACACGATAGACCCTAGTAGCCGTCTGCAAAGTAATCCAGCAGATGGTCTAATCTTCTTAACTGGGTTAAAATGCTCTGCACTCGGGGCTCCGCTGACCTCTCTGTTCTCACTCCCTGATTAAAGTCCCCTGACCTTACTCCACGCTCTTTCCCGCCTTTGGGGTTTTGCTCATGCCCTTCGCCCTGCCTTGAGTGACTTTGCTCTCTTCCCAGCTTCACTCCCTGCTCCCCACCCCCCAAGGCTGGGTCCAGTCTGGGTGAACACGCTTCCTCATGCGTATAGTGCTCTGAGCCAATCTCTGTAAGTGTATTCATCAATTCTTAAAAGGCTATTATTATCACCCTGGTTGAGTGGCTCAGATGGTTAGAGCATTGTCTCATACACCCAGTCAGGGTGCATACAAGAAGCAACCGATGGATGTTTCTCTCTCACATCAATGTTTGTTTCTCTCTCTCCCTCTTCCACTCTCTTTAAAATTAAAGAGAGGATTAAAAAAAGAAAAAAAAAGGAATTACCCATTCATATAGCTGGCACTCCAGTTCACTGAGAGCTCTCTGAGTGTGAGGCTCGGGTTTTATTTCTTGCTATGTTTCTGATCCATAGTTCTGTGCCTGGTCCTTAGGAATCACTCAACAGATACGTATGAAATAAATGAGTTTATAAATATGTGTAGAGGGGGATCTGGGGGGACCGAGTCTTAGCATGACTTTAGGAAGGCATGACCAGAATGAGACCACAACTAGAGAAGCTGATGCTTCGTCAAACACATTGTTCTCTGTGTGAATAAACTGCGGGTTCTTAACCTTTTAGAGACTCGACTGTTGTTTTGGGAACCCAGACCTTGTCTCTAGGAAAAGGTTCCTATGCCCTCCTGGTAGAGGCTGCTGTGTGTTCACCAAAACCAGCTTCCTTTTCCTCCCAAACACACAGCTGGATTACACTTCCCAGACTCCCTTGCAGTTAAGCATCATGTGAGTTCTGGCCAGTGGACCCGTGACAAAGTGATGGATGTCACGTCCGGGCCTTGCTAAAAAATAAAAAAATAAAAAATCTCTCCTCCAAGGTCCTCCAGACCCTCTTGGTTTTTATCTATCAGCTAAAAGCAAAGAATCCACGGAGCCTTCTGAACCCCAAGACGGAAGGAGCTTGGATCCCTGCCCACTCGATGTGCCTTTGTTGGATTTTACAGGAATGAGAAAAAATGTTATTGTGTTAAGCTTCTGATACTTTGAAATTTGTTACAATAGCTGATAAACGCACACCTTTCTAATACAAATCCAGGGTTTTGTGGACTCTAGTGCTTGCCCAGTGACCCCAAGTTAGAAATCTCTGGAATATAAAATGTGATTATTGGAAAAGGGCTTCATGGGGCCCACGTGCATGAATATGAGAGGATTTCTTGAGGCTTATCCAAGGGACAGGGATGTGTCAGGCAGAAAAGTATTCTAACTGTAGAGAATGTTTCACCGTAACTTGTATGAACCACACATAACCAAGGTCTCTCATCGGTCTGCTTCCATACTGACCATACCATCTTTGGGTGGTTAATTTAGATTCCTAGATACAGTAAGAGTGTAGCCCCCCACACACTTGCGTGGCTACTATGAATAAAAAAGTAGAAAATAATAAGCGTTAGCAACCATGTGGCGAAACGGAAACCCTTGTGCACTGTTGGTGAGAGTGTAAAATGGCTGGCCTGTTGTGGAAAATAGCACGGCAGTTCCTCAAAGAAAATAAAAAATATAATTACCGTATGGCCCAGCAATTCCAGTTCGGGGTACTCACCCAGAAGAACTGAAAGCAGGTTCCCAAAGAGAATATTTGTAACACCCGTGTTCATAGCAGCATCATTCACAACAGCCAAAAGGTAGAAGCCACCCAAGTGTCCACCAATGGGTGAATGGAGGAAAAGATGTGGCACATGTGCAGACAATGGAATATTATTGAGCTTTTAAAAGAAAACAAATTTTGACACACGCTACAACACAGATGAACCTGGAGGACATCATGCTAAATGAAGTAAGCCAGTCACAAAGGACAAATACTGCATGTTTCCATTTATATGAGGCACCTAGAGTAGCTGAAGTCATAGGGACAGAAAGTACAGAGGCGACTGTCAGGGTCTGGGGGTGGGGAAGGGGGCGATAGGGGTTGTTGCACAAGGACAGAGGGTTTGTTTTGCAAAATGAAAAGAGTCCCGGGTATTGGTTGCCTAACAACACGCAGGTACTTAACACGAGTGAACGGCGCACTTAAAAATGATTAAAAGGGGTAAACTTTATGTTCTGTGCATTTTACCACAATTTTTGAAAAAAGAGTGTAAAGGGAGTGTCCAAGTCGGGGTGTGGGGGTTCAGCCCATTGAAATTACAGGGCCCCCTTCTCATGAACATGGTCGTTACACTTCCCCCACCACGTGCCGAGCGTCGTGAAGGATACTTGTGTCTATTTTTCTATTTAGTCTTCGAACGGCCCCAAGAAGTAAATGTCATGGTTCCCCTTTCCCAGGTGGAGAACTGACGTCAGCGCGCTCGCGTGGCTTGATTAAAGTGATCCAGAGAGAAAGGGTCCAAGCCCCAGGTCTGGCTGAGGTTTCCACGAGGCCAGCTCGGACCCAGGAATCGATACTTTGGCCCCTTCATTCTTTCCAGCTTCCAAACCCTCCCCATCATTTTCCAGTGTACTCACTTGTCCCTGTTTCGTAGGAGTAGAGGATGAAGGTCATCCATCCCAACAGGTAAGCGGACCATTGGTTCATCGCTGCCGGCCTCTTCTTTCTGGACTGAAGGAAACAAAAGTTGTGTTTCCCTGGGTCCCTTTCCTCCTCCACTAAGTCCCACGTTGGATGTCACATGTGCCATTTTTTTTTCTATTGCCAGAGAGTAATAAAGAATAACATTCTTGCCCTATGTGGTTCAGTTGGTTGGGGATCATCCTGCAGAGCGAAGAGTCATGGGTTCGATTCCCGGGGAGGGCACATGCCTGGGCTGCGGGCTCAGTCCCTGGTCGGGGGGCGTACAAAGGGCAACCAATCAATGTTTCTCTCTCACATCGCTGTTTCTCTCCCTGTATTTCTCCCTCCCTTCCCCTCGTTATAAACCCTCTTTCCCTTCCTCTCTCTCTAAAAGCAATGAAAAAGATAGGTCTGCAGGTGAGGCTTAAAAAAGAAAAGAAAAACATTCTTACAGAAGAGAAAAAATACACACTGTCATGATGGAGGGGAAGTTGTGATGGAAAGAGCAGATGCAGCATCTGCTGAGGACTTACTGTGTTCCAGGCTGGGTGCTCAACACACTGTGTGCCACTGGGTTCTCATAAATCAAGTGATATTTTTAATCCCTATTTGACCGATGAGGAAACCGAGGCTCAGAGAAGCCAGGCAATCTGCCCGAGTTGGTTGCACAGTGAGGTAATGGTAGGATCCTAATGCACAGAAATGGCTCCGAAGGCTCTACTCACCGTGGGAACATTGATTATAATCTTAACCCTCGTCACAGGTCACGTCCATCTCCTGGGGTGGATGTTAAATGCCTTATTGATCAGCACTTACTATCTTCATCGAAGATAACTTCAGCTTGATCTATTTACCTCTTCCTCAATGACACCTAAATATGCCATGCTCAGCAGAAACAACCCAGGGTTTGGAACGGGTGATCTGGGTTTGTCTTGAGACCTGGCTACTATTACTGCCTCAGTTACTGGCTACCAGTTATTGAGCGCCTACTGTATCCACAATCCAGTTTGCTCCTTCTAACAACCTGTGGAGAAGATATGATCACCTCCATTTTACAGGAGAGGGAAACTGGGAGCTGGGAGGTTAAATCACTCACTCAAGGACCACACACGGTACGTGACAGATCGCGGATTCAGCTGCAGACCTGTCTACACCAGCCTCAGAGCCCCTAAGCTCTGTAAACCACTTCCCTTCTGTGGGCCTTTCTTTCCTCACCTGCGGAATGGAGTTTAAGAATTCCTGCCCTTTGGGGAAGCCATGAAGGTCCAGCTAGATCCTGATGTGAAAGTGCCTTTCAATTGTAAATCGTTCCTGATGGTTATGGATGATGAAGGCAAAGGTCAGGACAGCTCAGGGGAGACAACAGGTGGTACCCACCCCTAACAGCAAATCCAAGTAATGGGCTGGGAATCAAAACCGCGGAGTCAATGATTCAGGTCCTCCACTGGGTAGGTGGCGCCATTGAGCACCTGAGCTGGAGAACACGCCTCAAACTCCCCAGCCGTTTGGCTCTCTTGTTACCTCTGGAAGCAACCACAGCACCATCCCTCACAGGTTTCCCTGAGTGATGTTTCGTTCACTGCCTACCTGCCCTATCTGAAAATAAATAAACTTTTTTTTTTAAAGAAGAAGAAGAAAATAGAACATTTACCCTGGCCAGGTAGCCCAGTTGGTTAGAGCATCATCCTGGTACACCAAGGTTGCAGGTACAATCCCTGGTCAGGACACATAAAGAATCCACCAATGAATGAATAAATAAGTGGGATAATAAACTGATGTTTCTCTTTCTCTCTCAAATCAATAAATTTTTTACAAAATTTTAAAAAGCAGAGCCTTTGAGAGGTGATTGGGTCATGAGTGTGGAGCCCCCTGCATGAGATTCGTGCCTTTAGAACGGAGACCTCAGGGAGCTCCCTCGCCCCTCCACCATGTGGGGACACGGCGTGAAGACAGCCATCCATGAGGACGTGACATCACCAGACACCGAAGCTGCCAGTGCCGCGATCTCAGATTCCCCAGCCCCCAGGACCACGAGAAAGAAATCCCTGTTGCTTATAAGCCTCCTGGTCCATCGTAATTCTGCGCCAGCAGCCTGGAAAGACTAAGACAGTGTTTGCCCTGCTCTCTCAAGTTATCACCTCAAAAATAAAGCTTTGCTCTCCTTGTGCCCTCCCTACCTCCTATCGGTCAACAAATCCAGTTGACTCTTTTTTCTGAATCCATTCCTTTCTCTCTGTCTCCCTCTAACTGACTAAGGTCAGGCTCTTCCCATCTCTCCCCACACCGCTGTCCTGGTCCCCTCACGAATCCTGGGCCCCCAACCTGTCCCCTGTCCGGCCCTCAGGGCAGTTGATAGGGCCTTTCTTGGTGCATGTTTTTATGCACTTGGAGGCTAGACGATGAGTAAAGGGCAATGTGTGGACCAGCCTTGGTCCCCCCTTCACCGTGCTGTCTATGACGGACACAGGCAGGAAGCAAATGAATCAGAGACAAACACATAACTCTCACTTGTGATCATTGTCATGTACGCCAAGAACAGAGGCTGCGATCAGGAATAACTGGGTCAAGGTTACTTTTGACTGGGAGGTTGGGGGGGGCACCTCTGAGGAAATGATGTGCGAAGAGGAGGAAGAGTGGGATGAGGCAGATAGGAGAGGAACTGGGATGTTGGGGGAGGGAGGTTCATGGAGGCTGAACCTGGGATGGAAAAGAGCACACCGAACAGACGAGGCTGGGGCTGCAAGCGAGCAGGGAGGAGTGAGGCCAGAGAGGTGCTTGGTGAGTGGGCGGAGCCACCTGGACCCTGAAGAGCCTCCTGTGTGTTCTAAATGCAACTGGAAACCACTGCACAGATGAAGTGGGGAGAGGTGGCATTCATTCATTCAAAACCCTGCTTCAGTTTATAATAAAACCCACAGTCCGCACATGGCCGTCCTCTCCCAGCCTGTCTGTTCTCACTCCTCTGCTCTTGATCTGCCCCAGCTACACCAGCCTTTTCACTGTTTCTTGTACAAGCTGAGCTGTGTGAACCTCAGGGCCTTTGTACCTACTCATCTCTCCGCCTGGGATCTTAGCCCCGACCCACCCCCAGATATCTGCATGGCTTGCTTTTTTGTGCCATAAAGTGTTTTGTGCAAATGTGAAGAGTTGGTATGGACTGGCATTCTGGACTGTTAATGAGTCTGCTTGGAGAAAGTCACAGATATTAATAGAAAATGTTTTGGAGGCAGTTCAAGACAATGATTGAACTGTAAAGTGAGGCTTAATAGCCAGACACCCATGTCTGGAACATTCTGTTTAGGACTGAGGACATTCGAACACTCAGAGGACCCTCTGTCCCAGGCTGTGGGGTGGTTGGGGCTGGCTTCCTGCCACTGTCACCTGCTTGTTGGCTGCTCAGAAAGAGGGGTGCTGCGGCTTGGGAGTCAAGCCACAGTCAGATGCGGGCGCAGACTCCCAAGCATTGAATGTGGGAGAAGAAAACCCACCTCAAGATTTAAAAAAAAAAAAAATTAAGTGCACATGACTAGTAAGTATCCATTTAATAGATAAGAAAAGTGATATTGAAAAAAGCTGTGTGCCCCTGGCTGGTGTGGCTCAGTGGACTGAGTGCCGGCCTGTGAACCAAAGAGTCGCCAGTTCTAGTCCCAGTTGGGGCACATGCCTAGGTTGTGGGCCAGGACCTTAGTAGGGGGCGTGCAAGACGCAACCACACACTGATGTTTCTCTTCCTTTCTTTCTCCCTCCCTTGCCTTCTCTCTAAAAATAAATAAATAACAATCTTTAAAAGAGAAGGAAAAAGCTGTGTGTCTTATACTGAAGAGAAAAAGGAATAGAGATTATTCAAAATAGACTTGGTTTCCAACACCAATGCTGGGCTGCTTGGGCGGACTGAAAGAGCGTGGCTGTCCCCCAAGTTCATGAACATCGCCCTTGACAGTGGCCCGGAGGGCACAGACCCATCTCCTGGCCTCAGCATCCTTAGGGCTCCCCCTTCTGCCTGGTGGACAATAGATGCTCGCAATCGTTGCCCAGTGTTAAAGTACACGGGCATGTTTAATGTAAAGGGATGCTTAAGGCCTGGGATGCAGTTTCAATGAACCACTTAATCGTCTACCAAAACTTTGCTATTGCAAAAAATGTTACCAGCGGACACACCAGGGCAGAGTCCTGCCCTGAGGGACCCAGCAAAGGAGGTAGAAGGGGACAAGAAGCACCTGTCACTGCAAGTCTGGCGGGCTGAGGGAGTTGGCCGAGAGACGTGAAGTTCAGAGGGGGCGGGCCGCTTGGCAAAGGGCCGCAGGGCTCATAGATAAAATCAGAGTGAGGTCACCCTGGCCTGGGGGCTCAGTTGGTTGAAGCATTGTTTTGTGCACCAAAAAGTTGCAGGTTTGATCCCCAGTCAGAGCACATACTTGGGTTGCGGTTGATCCTTGATCAGAACACAACCGATCAATATTTTTCTCTCACACTGATGTTTCTCTCTTTCCTTCTCTCTATCTTTCTCTCTCTTTCTTTAAAAATCAATAAACATACCCTCGGGTAAGGATTTTTTAAATAATAGAGTGAAGGGTAATTAGCAACCAGAAGATGAATTAAATATCTAAGACAAAGGTCCTCCTCAAATTCTTATAATAAGTGCAATAGATGCTGAAAAGTTCTTTGTGAGCCTGGCTGGTGTGGCTCAGTGGATTGAGCACTGGCTTGTAGACTGAAATGTGACAGGTTCAGTTCCCGGTCAGGGCACATGTCTGGGTTGCAGACCAGGTCCCCCGTTGGGAGGCATGTGAGAGGCAACCCATCGATGTCTCTCTCACACATTGATGTTTCTCTCCCTCTCTTCCTCCCTCCCTTCCTGTATCTCTAAAATAAATACATAAAATCGTGTTTTAAAAAAGTTCTTTGTTAATAGCGGAGGGCGTACAAATGAGATGTTAACAACTACCAATAGGCCAGGGGGAGACCCATTTTGGCACTTGCTCTAAAAACCCTTTTGACCTCCTGCAGTTTCAGGCCACTACCCT